TTTATTTATTAGTGTATATGCGCGTGGCTTTTTGTTATATTAGCAAGCCGTGTCATTCTACTTATTCTTCCGCCACTACCCAACCCTCTCTCTTTCGCTTCAGCCTTCAGGTCTCTCTCTCTATCTCTCTCTTCCTTTTCGCTTTTTCGAACGTCTTCGCTTTCGCATTGTTAGGGTTTAGGATATTCTTGCAATTAGGGTTAGGTATTTCTGGAGAATTGCTTTCCGATTGTTGCTTTCGATGATATAAGTTTATGCATCGGTTTAGGGTTTGATGTTGTTCATTCTATTCTGTTCCCAATTTTGTTCGAGTATTTCTGTTCGATGTTTCTGTTCTTTGTCAGATTCAAATCTTAGGGTTTTGCTTTTATTCTTTCTGGGCAAATTTACGGGTTTTAGCTTCATTAAGAAAGTTGACGCGATTATCTTTTTCTTCTTTTTGTGTTTGTGTGACAGGATAGAAATAGAACAAATTATGACGTCAAAAGTCAATTTTATTTCCCTTGTGGGCTAGAACGAAGTTCTCTATATTGTGGGTTTTTGCGACCTCTAAAGAACTTGAACAACATTCCTTTATGTTTTTTTGGCTTTATAGCATTTTGAGGGATTTTTTATTTTCTTTTATTTTATGTTTTTACTACTTGCGTACTTGTCTTGCTAACTAGTTATAATGACCTTTGAATTGAACTTTAGGCCTCGCTTCGCAGATTTGAGTTTTCAATTTGAGTTGAGGTTTGACATTTTCTGAAAGCTTTTAACTGTAGCAGAAAAAGTTAGATATGATATTTTCTGCTACTTGCGTACTTGTCTTGCTAACTAGTTATAATGACCTTTGAATTGAAATTTAGGCCTCGCTTCGCGGATTTGAGTTTTCAATTTGAGTTGAGGTTTGACATTTTCTGAAAGCTTTTAACTGTAGCAGAAAAAGTTAGATATGATATTTTCTTAGAGTTTTTAACTCTAGAAAACCTAGAACTGAAAACTCGAATCGGTGAAATGAACGAGACCTTAGTAAAATCTTTTGCTTGACAGGATCTTAACTTTGCAAAATGGGTGGGGGGAACATAATACTTTTCAGAATTGAAAAAATTATGCTATTTGCTTTTATCTCTTTTGCCAATGTTTTGACTAATGATATGAACAACATGGCTCTAGCATAAATTTGAGTGATGACTGGTGACAACTATGGATTTTATGGTAGGGTCGAGTCTTATTATAAGACTTTAACTTGTTTTGTTTTATTTTCTTGTCGAATGTTAATCTGTATTTGTATCCCTTTTTGTGGATCTTTTCCATGATTGATTGTAAAAGGGTTAGATGTGTGTATCTTTTGGATGTAAAGGCTGATGTGCAATGTTTGTGTCTATGTTGTTGTTGTTGTCTTTGTTATTTTTCCTCCTAATAGAGGATTTAGAAAAAGTGTTATGCTCTGTAAGCAAACCATAAAACTAGCAGTGGCTTTAGACATAAACTAGTTATTTGACTTTTTAGCTCTTTTTCATACCATTGGGTCTGTTACTTCTACATGGTTTGTTTTATTGTGTTACCGCTGCTGCTGCTTTTGCTTATTCAAGTTTCTAATCAACTGGAATGTTTCAGAAATAAAAAGCTTTCTAATATGAGGAGGAGGAGTTACAGTCCATCACCCCCAAGGGGAGGTTATGACCGGAGAGGACGAAGCCCAAGTCCTAGGGGCCGCCATGGAGGTCGTGGTAGAGATCTTCCTACTAGTCTTCTAGTTCGCAATCTTCGCCACGACTGTAGGTCTGTCCTCGTCAACTGTTCAGATTATATGTTCTTAATGCAAAAACTTTTTTATTGTCTTTTTGTTGACCAGTGAACAATGATGAATATTGGTTGTTTTACCATGACATTCCACTTTTTGTTTTATGAACTGATTTTGTTCTTAATTTTTTAAAGCTGTATGGAAAAAGATAACCCATTGAGCATGGATGGCTTTTTGCATCTTTTTCCAAATCTCTTATGCGGATTGTCCAGATGATGTTTGTATCTGCAAAACTACAAAGTTAGAATAATGAATATTACACGAATATTAAATAAGTGTGGAGTTTATTTTTTCTAGGAACTACCCTAATTAGCTATAGCATATATGTATTCATGTTAAGTGAACTTGACTTAACTTGACTTTTTTTTTTTGGGTTGTGGCCCTAGTGTGCATAATTAAGATAACTATCTTGCCCAGAAGACTAACAGGTCAAAATACACGAGAGCAAAATTATAGAAGATTGTTTTTGGAATTGGTTTTAGATTGTTTTTGTAAACGTTTTTGCACGTCTTTTAAGACACGGAAATGAAAATGGTCTGCAAACTGTGTTTGTTTAGCAAATGTTTTGAAAACGAAAACAAACACAAAAAACAGTGAGAATGGTTTTTGTGAATGAATTAGAAACGGTTGAAAGTTGTTTTTCCTTTTTTGTTTTTATTTTCTAGTACTTATCAACAATGTTATAATATATTAATTAATAATTATAACCAAACACGATTTCACGTTTTTATTATACTCAAAACAATCTCTTAAAAAATCAACCAAACGCAATTTCAAAATCGGTCCTAAAATGATTCTTAAAACAATTTCATTTTTACTTTTGTACTGAAAACAAAATCATTTTGAAAATGTTACCAAAGGGGCCCTACATTTCTTCCATAATCTTGTTCTCATGTTTATATTTGAAGATATGTAATAAAATACACATTACGCGAGTTCTAAAAAGCAATTCACTTCTTCATTTTGTTTTTGAATGCAATAGTTATTTCTAGTTCTTAGATAGCATGAGGATCACCTTTTTTGTTTTTTAGAGAACCCTCCACATGTGGTTTTGTTCTTATCCTATCTTGTTTGTATCTTTGTTTGGTGAATACCATTTGCTCAGTACTTTTTTGTTTGTCATTTTTTTAGAATAATAGGATATAATGTCGTTCTCTCCTTCCCCCTCATTTTTATGTTGTGCTGTTATGTTACGCAGGCAAGATGATCTTCGAAGGCCATTTGGACAGTTTGGTCCTCTTAAGGACATTTATTTGCCAAAAGATTATTATACTGGGTGAGCATATCTGATTAGTGATTGTATTTGTTGAACTTGGAACATTACAGGATAAAATTTATATTTCTATCTATTTTCTCTTTTCTTAAGAAATTAATATTTTAGTTTCTTACTGTATTTTTGGGACATTTTTGGCGTGTTCTTTAATTTTTCATTTTTTGAGATAATTACAGTTGAAATGACATTAAACTTGTTGCTAAATATAGGTTTTATGAAATAACACTGATGTAGTGCCTCTTTGTCTATAACATTTGGTGATGCTGCTCCTTGGCCTGCCCCATTCTCTTGATTTTATTTCATAAGACTAGAGGGATAGATTCTATTAGCATTGCTTCAATAGGTTTAAGATTTTTTTCTTTTGAGATTCGAACAATCGTTTAAAATGCCTTTTGTGAGTTGTTACTCTAGATTTCCCTCCTTGACGTGGGGCTTTTTCTTCATCGTGTACTTCATTATCATTTGCTGAGTGCGTTATTGAAGTTGTTGAGGTTTAGCAGTGAATTTAGAGTTTTGAAGACACCAATCAAGTAATTAGAGTTCTTTTCGAGATGATGTTAATGATAGTGAAGATTTGAAGGAAGTTGGGTTTGAATACAATGTGATGTGAAGATATTCCAAGTCTTGAAGAATTTCAAGTCATCTTATAACTGACACTTTGCAAGGTCAGCAGCCTAGTGCTTGCTCTTTTATCATGACCCTCCATCTATTGGGGAAATTTACGACAAGATTTACTAGTAAAGGTTTATGGTATGCAAAGGACTTGTCAGCAAATCACAGTTGTCCTTCATTGTATATCTCATGTTTTGAACTTGTTTTTACTTAATGTTGTCTCCCTTTTGTTGTGTGTTTTCTTTTCCTTTTTTTACCCTCAGGGAACCGCGTGGATTTGGCTTTGTCCAATATGTTGATCCTACTGATGCCGCAGAGGCTAAATATCATATGGACGGACAGGTTCTTCTCAGTCGTGAGGTAACCGTTGTGTTTGCAGAGGAGAACAGGAAGAAGCCATCTGATATGAGACAACGGGAGCGAGGGAGGTAAGTTCTTTATTGTTCTTCTATCACGTGAATTTGAAATTTGATTTTCTTAAAATGAATTCTCTAATGCATGTCTTTTTTATTCTTTTTTTCTTTTTGTGGTAATTGGTATTGAGAGAGGCAGTTGAATAATTACAAAATGCTGACTGTGGCTTGTTTGTTTACGATAAATAATTCTTAGCGAACTGTTAAATTTACGCAGTTGAAAAAATGTATTGATTTCAAGCTCATTTACAAAATCAAGATTATTTTATCCCATTACCTGAAGAAGGTTTTCAGTAATGCAATTTTGTTCTAGTTTCAATACTTAAAGAGAGCGCTAGTTAGATGCTCTCTTTTTTTCACCCATTTAGTATATTGGTCAAATTCCTGAACTATTTAGTATTTGTTTAACATTTGTGCTACAATCTTTGAATTCTGAATTATGAAGTTTGTCATAAAGGCTTGTGTGACTTAAGACATTGAGTTTTCACTCTGTAATAGTAGTTGATATTTGATAATACCAGGTTTTCCGTATTCTTTTCCTAAGTAGTGTTGATATTATGCAGGGGTCGCTATCGGGATCGGAGACGGTCTCCTCCTCGATATTCCAGATCCCCACCTCCACGTCAGGCAAGGTCTCGCTCCCGTAGCGGAGAGTATTATTCCCCACCCAAACAAAGAAATTACTCGAGGCAAGTGGCGTTTAAGTTTACCTCCTGTTCTTATAATTTTACTCTTTAAGAATTTTCTTCGTGTAAGGAACACAATTAGTTATTTCCTTCCATGCATCAACTTAATGTTTTTGCCTTTTGATTCACGTGAATTGCTGTTAAGGTGTGAGGGGTTTAGTAGACTCTACTTGTTTTAACTGAAACAGTTTGGCTTTGTTCTGTAGACCAGCTTCTTCTAATGAGCAGAAGTCTCTTTTCTGTTTTATTTTGAGTTTCTACTTTGTGATTATTTGGTTGATTCTGGCTTCTTATCTGCTCCAGTCCAAGATTTGTATCCTTTTTTCTATTAGGTCTTTGCAATATTTTCAACGCCTAAACCCGGGTTTGGTTTGGTTTTTTTTTTTTTTTCTGGGCCAGATCTGTGTCACCGCAGGAGAGAAGGTATAGCCGTGAGAGGTCATACTCACAATCTCCACGCTACAATGGCTCAAGGAGCCGTAGTCAGAGCCCAGTCAGGGGTCCAAGCCGAAGCAGAAGCCAGAGCCCAAAGCGACGAAGTGTCGGCCGAAGTCCCAATAACTACCGTGAGGAACCCAATGGAGCTAGGTCTCCAACTCCTTGAACTGGGGGTACAGAACTGTCTCTAAGCTAGAGGATAGTGACTTGTTCCGCTATGTTTGCTTTCAGAGAGATTTCAAAATCTAGTTTGTTTTAATGTTTGTTAGCTCTGTTGGATGAGATTTAATCGGAGTCTTTCTAGTTCTGTTGAGACAACTTTGTGGTGGGAGATTATTATATCTAATGTTGGAAAACATATTTGATTCTATAGGCTTCCCTGTCTTGATTGCTGCTGAATTTTTGACCTATTCATATCCATGCTGCTAGGAAGGGATAGTTTTGGTCATTGCATGAAGAATAGTTAATTCTGGTCCAAAAACAAAAAGGAAAAACTTTAATTCATTTTTGTTTATACACAATAATTCATTAAACAACTTAGATCTGGATACAAAAAGTATTTTTAAAAAACATATATTCTGCTTTGAGTGTTATTTATTTAGTGTACTGGAGTTCTGATCTCATCAAATCTATAATATTATATCATATTTAATACACATCTATGAAATAATGAAAGGAAATCTACAGTAATGCCCCTCCAGACGTCACTGACCAAACATAAAAATTACGTCCTTTATTAACACTGAAGTTTATGTTATCACTTTCTTTCATCTATATATTTAGTTACTACGGTTGGGTAAAATTCTAGGGGAGAAACAAAATTAAAGAAGTGAGTTACAATGGTGCATTTTCTAATTTTTCTAAATAACAAATAACATTTTGTCTTGGATAAAGAGGCAATAGCATATTTTTGAAATGGTTTTTAATAAATATGATTGTCGTGAATGGTATATGTACCAGTAAATTTTTTATTTTACCCGGCTAGCCGCTAAATACAGCATTTATTAGTAATTAAAAATATATGTCTTGTATACTATATTCACAATAAGTAAATAAACAATACCAATAAATGTGTCATTTACTTCAATTGTCCAAAAAATATGACGTTTACTTAAAAACATTCAGAAAATAGGGATAATACCAAAAATACACATTGTATTCTGCCTATATACTATTTTTTTAATATCTTTAGTTAACCATTTTATGTATTTAGTCAAAATAATTAATGATTTAATCTTTTTTTTTTTTTACTTTTCTTCATTACAACTATTAGCTAAATAGTTATTATGAGAATGCATTTCACACTAGCCAAACATAACTAGTAAAAAGAGATTAGCCATTTTATTTTTTTCCTATCAGTTTATTCTTTCAAACAGTAATAAATCATGATTTTTTTATAAATATAATAAAGTTATTTATATTTTAAATTTATTGTTTAGTTAAAATAGAGAGTAATGTTAGAGTGGTTCATCTAAAAATTGCTTATTAAAATAGTTAAATTAAACTAAAATTTAAAGAGTTCTCTTCTTACTATGCAAATGCCTTAAACGCCTTTTGTGTTTATAAAATAAGGCTTAATATACCCCCTGAAGCACTTATTTCTTAAATGAAGATTAGTCTTCCCACCCTTCATTAAACATAATTGAAAACATTATTAAACTAAAGTATTGAATAAAATCAATCTTAAAAAAATGAAAAACCCCCCAAAATAATCAAAGTATTTGTTTAATTGGAATATTCATTTTAAAATTTTAATTTTTTTTATTTAGCTTTTTAGTTAAATCATATCTAAAATACCAATTAATATAGATAGGGAAGGATAATCTTAGGATTATTTTTATTGGTGTCCCTGAACTTTGGGGTCACTCTCAGTTCGCCACTTGAACTTTAAAAACTCTCATTTTGTACCCTGAATTTTGAATTGTTCTCACCTAATCCATGTTGTTGCAATTTTTATTAAAATTAGCCAGAAAAGAGGGGGTTAAGTCTGGTCATGTGGTTTTTATCTTTTTCTTTTTAATAAAAATTAAAACAGAAAGACCACATGATTGCGTTATTCTCTTTTTTTCTATCTATTGTAACACAAATTACAACAGAAGGAGTTGAGTGGAAACAATTCAAAGTTTATGGACAAAGTGAGTGTTTTTAAAATTTAAGGGCAAACTGAGAAAGACCATAAAGTTCAGAGGGCATCAGTGTTAATACTATTTAAAAATTTAATTGCCTTAGGAGATATTTTAACTCTGATTTTTTAAACACATGGTATTTTGTGCATTTGCATAATAAGAAGGATAAAAGTAGTATTTTGACAAAAGATTGTTTTTGGGCATTTTCCCTTAAAAAAATGTATTTACTAAAATTACTTTTAATTTTGTTGCTAAGTCTTTGTGGGCCTGAGATGGTTTCGCTATTATCCTTGCAACTAAGGATGAAAATATCGACATTTTTACTGATATTTGTGTGAAAATTTTCATATTTTAGAAGTACTGATATGAAAATAGGCGTATAGTATCTTTTCCGCAGAATATTCTGAAATTTTCACGGATATTTCCGTAAATATCGATATTTTCACAGAAATTTCTATTTCTGAATAAAACATAGTGTTAAATGACCAAATATCGTGAAACTTTTATGAAAATATTGCAGAAATATAGGTAAAATTTCCACAGAAATATCCGCAACTTTATATATACATATATATTATTTTATTTTTCAGAAAAAATTAAAAAATATGACATGTCTAAAATTATATAAGGAGCTATTCAAACTCCATGTCTTGGTATAAGTATTATTTAAACCAAAAATGTGTTCAAAATACCTTCGAACTTCCTAAAAGCTCTTTTTAGTATTGATAATTTATCATCATGTATGAAATCATATATGTATGATATATATATATATATATATATTACGTTGACTTTCAACTATTTACTTAATTTGTGAACGTGTGCTTAATATTTATAGTATTATGATCACATTTTATCTTGCATATTTATCAAATAATTAATATTTTACATAGTGTTAAATGACCAAATATCGTGAAACTTTTATGAAAATATTGCAGAAATATAGGTAAAATTTCCACAGAAATATCCGCAACTTTATATATACATATATATTATTTTATTTTTCAGAAAAAATTAAAAAATATGACATGTCTAAAATTATATAAGGAGCTATTCAAACTCCATGTCTTGGTATAAGTATTATTTAAACCAAAAATGTGTTCAAAATACCTTCGAACTTCCTAAAAGCTCTTTTTAGTATTGATAATTTATCATCATGTATGAAATCATATATGTATGATATATATATATATATATATATATATTACGTTGACTTTCAACTATTTACTTAATTTGTGAACGTGTGCTTAATATTTATAGTATTATGATCACATTTTATCTTGCATATTTATCAAATAATTAATATTTTAATTAAAAATTTTATCTAATTAATGTATTATTATCTATTTTAAAATTTCTTAAAGTCTCATTTAAAAATATAATATTTTAATATGAATTTCTATTTTTTTAAGTTAATTTCTACCGATATCAATATTTTCATAAAATTTAAATACTAATATTTTTATAAATATCAACATTTTTATAAAATTTAAATTTAAATATTTATGTAAATATCGATATTTTCATCCACCCTGCAACACTGATGGGTGGGTCTTTCTTAGCAGCGAGTGAAAAAGGAAGGCAACAGAGAGTGTCTATAGAAAGAGCCAACTTCTTTTTGACGATTTGTACCCTTTCAGCCTCACTTTACAACTAAGCATCAATCAGCTAACTTTTTTTCTTTTTTCTTTTTCACTATGGTCTTCTCTTCAATTTGATTCGCTTCTCTTGGACCCTTTTATTTCCAAGACAATCCTAAGTTTTCCATTTTGTTTTGATTCCTCTGGGTCCCATTTGATTAAGATTGTCGATTTTCTGGCTTTTGCCTTTTAAACGAACACAAGAAACGGTCCTTTCTAACGTTCTTTTCTTTTTCAAGATACTACATTTAGATTAGAGGTATAAAACATAACAGTCTCATTTATTTCACCGATTCGAGTTTAAAATTTAAATTTTATTATAATAAAAAACTATAAAAAATAATTATATTTAACTTTTTTACTACAGTAAAAATTTGTATACATGTAACATACACACTGTACTTTTGTTTGGAAAATCCCTCAAAAAATATATATATTTGAAAATAATAGCATCAATAACTCAAGTAATGGTCATTGTTTCCTTTAGAGGGGGGGAAAAAAAAAAAAAACAGTAATGGTCCTTACATGATGTTTGTAATAATTAGGAGTGAGAGCTTCAAACTCTAAACTTCAACATTGGAGGTGTGTGTGAATTTATTGCTTGATTAACCTGTAATAATCATTATTGTATAGTAAGTCGCATGAGAAGAAAATGATGTTGTGTAAATTACACTTGTATGTACGAGTCAAAATATAAGTAAAAGGGATAATGGGATATGTACAAAAGTGATTTACCGAGTAAATGAGTGATCAACAAGTGTTTGGTTTGTAAATTAAAATGTGATTAGAATTATTTTTTATTTACGTGTATTTTTTGTGAGAAAAAACACTGTAACGAACCATGAACCATGATTCAAATCATGATTTGAATCATCTAACCAAACATCACTTATTAAAGATTTTGTCTGATTTAAAATCATAATTCTTAATTTTACTATAGTATTTTTTTCTCATAAAAAAATTAAAATCATAAACTATAATTTTAACCTCATAAATCAAACGTAACCTAATTTATTTACTTTAATATACAAATTCGACTTTTCAAATTTATAATTTTGTTTCATTATTGTAAGGCTCCCATTGTACTTCATATAAACAATGTGTGGGGGCGATTTTCATATACTCAGCGCAAGATATTTTTTTTTTAATATGCGTAGAGTTATATATTTTTCTATTGATAATTTACGAGAGTGAATAAAAGGTAACTAGTGCATATGAATTGGACAAATCAAATGTCCGACCTTAGCTAACTACTTAACCAACACTCTGTCTGGTTGCTCCCTAACGGTTAGTTCATGAATTCAGAATCATGATTCAAAATTATTTGTGATTTATGTGTGTTTTTTATGAGAAAAAACACTGTAGTAAACCACGAACTATGATACAAATCATGGTACGAATCTACCAACCAAACGCAAGATCTCCTTCCTTTTTGAATTGCTCTCCAAAACTCAGTTGAGCACAAATTACCCTTTGTGAGACTCATTTGTGGGCAATCAAAAATATTCCAAGTTATGTTTGGTTGGACGGATGGAGAACAAAAAAGATAAATAAAGTTAGAGAAATTAGACGTTTGGTTCATGGATTAGAATCATGAGATTAAAATTATTTTCGATTTATGTGTATTTTTTATGAGAGAAAATACTGTAGCGAACTATGAACCATGATTCAAATCAATGTGAAAGATGCAAAAAATTATAATGATTTAAATAGAAGGGAGGAAGAGTTCAAAGAAAATAGTACTATATTGTCTCGTCTATTTTTTTTATTAATAATTCTTTTAAAGAATAAAATAGTCTTTTTAAATTGGATAGAAGTTCATCTGCTTAAATTAAATAAATATGTCTTTTTCCCTTTTGAGAAGCAACTTTCATATTGGATCTCGTCAAAATAAAATAAACATAACTTGATAAAGATGAAACATCTTCTCGTTTGGTTCGTTAGTACGAGTTTTTAATTCGAATTGAGATGCGACTTTAAGTGAGAGTTTTTAACAGTAATAAAACTGAAATTAAAAACTTGAATTAGTAAAATGAACAAGATTAAATTGTGATGCTTAGATTTTTTTTTGGATATCTATATGGTGGAGCATGTTATTTTGCTCCACCGATGAAAATAATTATTTTTAACTGTTAGATTAATTTTTTAACGATCAAATCTATATAAATTTGTATAAAAATTTAAAATACGTCACATAAAATTACTCTTACTACATATGTTAAAAAATTAATCTCACAGTTAAAGCACAATTCCCATTAATGACATAAAATAACATATTCTCCCCTAAAAATTCCTTTTTCTTAAGGAAAAAAAATTCATATCCTATTAAAAAATGAGAAAAAAATTATGCTGATTGTTACTTTTTTTGAGTAATAATAGTGGTGAGCACCCCATTATTGCCATGAATTTGAACGGTCGTTTCGAACGTGACTTTTCGTCACCTTTACCTTCTTATTTCCACTTGATAAAATGGACTTTTTGTAAGGAGAAAATAAAAAGAATTAAATAATTTCATTAAATAAGTCAACCAATATTCAACAATAAGAAAATAAAAATTAGAAATTCAAAAGTAAATTTATTTCTAGGTGACGATCTTGATGCGTTCTGTCCCAGCACATGCATTTTCGTGTAATAAAATTTCAAAAAAGAAGAAAAGAAGAAGAAAAAAAAAGACAAAAGACACGAAACAAACAACAACAAAACAAAAACAAAACAAAAAATTGACGTAATTGGATCGTGTTTGATTTCAGTCTAGCTATGTAGCAAAGCTGCCATTGGAAGGTTTAAGAATTGAGAAAATTTTATTTTTTCCCCTTTATTAATAATATATGACTACGTACGCGTAGAATATAATAAGTTATAATGGCTGGGAAATTAAGTGGGGTATAGTTTGTCAGACCCAAAAAAAAAAAAATCAATTTTTATTTATTTATTGTTGGTAGTACATACTAGAAGTGGTAATGCTTTGTGGGTTTGGTTTAAGCGCGGTGTTCTGGCTTCCACATTGAAGAACAACTTGCTTTGAAATTACTACTTTTTTCTGAGAATCTTTTCTAAAATTCTTTTCTGTGTTCCCTTCAGTTTTTCTTTCTTTGTTCGAGTGGGCGTGTGTCTATACTATTTCTCTGTGCTTTGTTTACTTGTGTGGGTTTTGTAGGGATTTATCTCTGGATTTCACAGCTGGGAATTTTTTCGATCAGGTATTTTTTACTCTTTTTTTTTTTTTTTTTTTTTTTGTCGATGTCGATTCTGCTTCTGGGTTCCTTGTCATTGTTCCTCTTCCTTTTTGTGTGTGTGTGTGTGTGTGTGGGAGTGGGACTTGCAAGGTAGGGAAGAGGATTTGGCATCTGGGTTTTGTGTGAAATACACACACACACACATATATGTTCCATATTTTCTTGGTCTACTCACCCTCCTGAAATGCTAATTAAACATCCTGACTGGGAAACTTAAGCATGCTAATTAAGCATGCTTTAAAAGGGGTAATGTTGCAAATTTACCTTATTTGGTTTTTGAACATCCTGACTGGGAAACTTACTTGGAAGTTGTCAGACATTTTTTTAGGAGCTTCTCAAGATAATGTTTATGTCATGCTGCTTGTTTAAGTTGTACTTCTTTTCTATATTTGGGTTTTTTTTTTTTTTTTTTTTTTGGATTATTGAACTCATCTTGCAGCGTTTACAGCATAATATACTAATTATTTAATTGATAAAGTTTGAAATATCATGAATTAGGACCATTTTTTAGTACCATTTGGAATTATTCGAGTCTTTTGGGCCATTCGCCAAACATGTGCTATGTTTTTACTTTTTATAACTTGTAGAAAAAATGTCACTATTAGTTGGTAAAGAACTAGAGCTTTCATTTCTCCGCAAGCTTCATTACTATATGGCACCTTAGCAATTGGGCTTGTTAGACTGTGTGAACTGTGCAAACTGTTGAATTATCGTGAAGGTGGGTTAGTCATGGTTGTTGGGCAGAATTATCTTTGGGTGGGTTAGTCATGGTTGTTGGGCAGAATTATCTTTGGGTGCGAAATAGACGGTATACGGAGAAATGGTCATGGATCGTAAGATTTTTTTTTCCTTTATTACCAGAGGTTAGGCATCTCCTAGCTTCCTTGATCAAGTGAGAATAGTTAGTAGTTTTATTATCTAATACAAGATGATGTTGTGTCGATAATTTATGCTGGTGAAACTTGGTAAAAATTCGGTGGCATTGTTCATTTAAGTTTTGTTTGAGGCATTTATGTCATGTGCTTATCTAGGAAGAAAGATGATGTTTTTAAGTGTCATGTATTTGTTGATGAAACAGGTCTGAGTGAGTTATGATTTGTTGATTTTCCTAACAAAAACATATTTGACTATCTGTATTCCTAAACTTTTCCGTAGAGTTCAGATATTTTCTTACTACATATACATTATCAGATTATCTTTTTCGAATAATTTCCAAAGGCATTTTTTTATCACAATCTATCTGTTCAAATTTTGTCTTTAGCTCATGGGATTTTACTTCAGCTTCTATCTATTTGCTGATTTTGACAGTTGAGGACTTGAGAATTAAACGAGAAAGGAGTGCAGATTTTCATCAGACTGGATGGTGCGTGAAAAATGGCTTGGAAGCCTGTTTTTCCTCTTAGTTGGCATGTTTGCCAACGCATTGGGTAACGTAACAGACTTGTAACAATCTCTTTTCCCGCTATTTAGTGTTTTCTGCTGATTTGCATAAAACCAAATGCTTGAATCAAGTTCTTGCAGTTCATTGTGGTTGAGGACGACCCGAGGCATGTCTTCACATGTACATGTAGATAAACATAGCTTGGTTTGTTATTTATTAAAGATGGTTTGAACATTTTAAGTTTTCAGTCTAGTGGAAAGAGGTTCATTGTAAAAAGAAAGATAGATTGACAAGCACAGTATTGAGAGTATAACAACCTACTCCCTTTTTGAACTTGTAGGTGCATTTGTTGGGATAAACATTGGAACTGATGTTTCCACCCTTCCATCAGAAATAGATATTGTTGCAATTCTAAAAGCCCATCAATTCACACATGTACGCCTTTATGATGCCAATACTCGCTTGCTGAAAGCCCTTGCTGGGAGTGGAATAGAAGTAATGGTGGGTGTCGCGAATGAGGAAGTTCTTGGTATCGGAGAGTCTCCATCAGTAGCCGCTGCATGGGTTAACAAGAATGTTGCAGCTTACGTGCCCACAACTAATATCACTACCATTGCTGTAGGTAGCGAGGTTCTCACCTCAATTCCCAATGCTGCTTCGGTCTTGGTTTCTGCCATGAATTACCTTCACAAAGCACTAGTCGCTGCAAATCTAAATTTTCAGGTCAAAGTCTCAACTCCACAATCTATGGACATCATCCCTAGGTCTTTCCCCCCCTCCACTGCCAACTTCAATTCTTCGTGGAACTCCACAATCTACCAACTCCTCCAGTTTTTGAAAAACACGAATTCCTATTACATGTTAAACGCCTATCCGTATTATGGGTACACCCGAGGGAACGGTATTTTCCCGATTGATTATGCTCTTTTCAAACCACTTCCCTCGGTCAAGCAGATTGTTGACCCGAACACTCTTTTCCACTACAACAGCATGTTTGATGCGATGGTGGATGCTACCTATTACGCTATTGAGGCCTCAAACTTCACTGGGATCCCTATTGTTGTCACTGAAGCTGGTTGGCCTTGGCTTGGTGGAGCTAAGGAACCTGATGCTACTGTAGAAAACGCAGAGACCTTCAATAATAACTTGATCCGGCGAGTTCTAAACAATTCAGGTCCGCCAAGTCAGCCAAATTTTCCCATAAACACATATATCTATGAGTTGTTTAACGAAGACAAGAGGTCAGGACCTGTGTCGGAAAAGAATTGGGGTGTGCTCTTTACGAATGGCAGCACTGTTTATCCATTGAATTTGGGCACTTCTGGTCGAGCTACTGGAAATTCTTCGGCTGTTTTTTGTGTGGCAAAGTCTGATGCGGATCCTGACAAGTTGCAAGAGGGTTTAAACTGGGCGTGTGGACAAGGCCAAGCTAACTGCAGTGCCATACAACCCGGGCAGCCATGTTATCTCCCTGATAGTCTTGTGAATCACGCTTCATATGCATATAACAACTATTATCAAAGAATGCGGAGTGTTGGTGGAACATGTGATTTTGATGGCACAGCTACTCAGACCGATACTGATCCAAGTAAGTTTTGTCGGGGTTTTTTTTTTGTTTTGTTTTGTTTTTTTCCCCCTCTTTTTACTATGCAGTTTATTATGTATATCGGAATCATATGGCCACCTCAACTGTTGTTTTTATGATGCTTCTCAAACTCAGTAGAACCTTCTAATAAAAGATTCTAATGTATTGAGCAGGCCCTTAGGCTATAAAACATATATATCCTAGAAGAAATTTAGAGGTGTATTTTGAAGAAATGAAACCATGAATTCAAAGATGTATTTTATAGAGTTTTTATGTTTGTTAAATATTCTGGCTTTGCTTTGTATCCACACTTAGTACATGTCTATTTGTGAAAAACTATATTTCTCCTTCAAGCCCTTAAAACACTCTCTTAATATTTGTAGGTTGACCATTTTACATCTTTAGACCATGGTGATATTATTTTTTCATACCCTTTTCCTTTAAGTTACCCCTAATTTAATTCTTTATGGGCATCTTTTTGCAGGTTCTGGATCTTGTGTTTTTGCAGGAAGGTAAGAATCCAAACCCAACTATTTCAAATATTCTTAAATCTTACTTACCCAACACAAGAAAAATGGGGACTTTATAGTAATTAAGGATACAACTCTAGAAATGATTGTTTTGATTTTGAAAACAGCTCTAATTCGAGTGGCCGCGGACTTGTCTCTCCCTCCTCACTTTCGCCCGAGGTCTCTCCGGGATCGTCGTCTTCAAACCTTAAAATTTTGAGGCTTCAGCTATTAATACCGGCGACCTTTCTTGCTTTGGTTTTTGTTTGAGTCGAGGGATTCCAACTTATATGTGCTAATATTGTGCCAGCTGAAGCAAGCATATTTTGAGATTGCAGAGCAATGGAATATTCTTTTTGGTCAATGTTGGTTGTGTTTCTAGTAGTTTTAGTGCAGGCATTCTCTTGAAGTAGCACTTAGAACCTTGATTTTTCCTCCTTTCTATTTTTTGTTTTTGGGAAAAAAACAAATGAACACCTTGATTTTGTACCTTAATCAATTGATTTTGCAAATGTGCTTTATTTGTTTCCAATTGGTCATATATGCTTAAAATGAATAGGCATTAAAGAAGGGACATTTGAAATATTCATGGTAACTTTTCCATCATTGCATTTCCTTCCAGAGCTGCCTGCGTATTATGTTTCTTCTATGTTACAATTTACTTGGACTTGGGACTCACGTATAGTTGGTATTTTCTTTCTCTCATAGTGATTTTTTTATTATTATTTTTTTATTTATTTTTTGAATAGGGGCAGTATTGCAAATATCCTATGCTTTGGTTCAGTGACAATAAAATATTATAATATGGCGGGGGAAAAGATTAAGTCCTGTTTAGTTGGTTTGAATTTTGTTGATTTGAATAAAAAAATTAAACTGTGGTTTAAATTGTAATTTGAATTGACGTTTAGATGTGTTGTTAAAATTTTAATATGAATAGAGAATAAAATTTAAATTTGTTTTTGGTAAATGTGAAATAGATAGAGTGTATTTTTTTACTGTTTAAAAATAGTTTAAACGGTTAAACTTTAGAGTGGAGTTAAATTTTAAGTTGGATAATTTAACTCAATTCAAACATAGATAATTTAGATTGCGTGTTTACTAAACATGAATTTAAATTGTGCTCATTGTTTTAAATTGAGTTCAACTGAATTAAATTAGGAATAAAAAGCAGGGCTAATCTGACGAGACAAAATGTTGATAATACGTTATATAAAAACTAATCACGAAACATACAACAAATCAGAGTGGCGCAGCGGAAGCGTGGTGGGCCCATAACCCACAGGTCCCAGGATCGAAACCTGGCTCTGATATAGTAGAGTAGCTGTCCCGCTGGCAAAACATTTTTTTCCTTTCCATTCCAACCAAAACGGTGCATTTCAATTTCTTATTTCCATTAATTTTGTTCTCTCTCCTCATCTCTTCAGTTGGTTTCAATTTCTTTTTTTCATTAATTTTATTTTTTCTCTCCTCATTTTTTAGTAACAAGAACTACAGTTTTTTATTTTATTTTATGCGTTTAAATTAATAATTTTAATTTTGATAATATTTTTTTTTTCATAAAAAATTAATTTTAAATACTAAAATTTAGGATAACTTGTATAAACGCATGAACCAAATATCTCACTCTTCTCTCTCTATTCAGTCGTTTGGAGAAGATGATGTCCTCGTCGTCATCGGCGGCGTCGGCGTGGGTGGCGACGACGTCGGTGTCGGCGTCGGGGAAGAGAATTCAGAGAGAAATGGCGGAGCTTAACATGGAACCTCCTCCCGACTGCTCCGCCGGCCCCAAGGGCGACAATCTCTACCACTGGGTCGCCACCATCATCGGCCCTCCCGGTAATCTCTCTTCTAAATTTTCAAAACTTCATGCTTTAATTTCGAGTCAGACAACTAGTTGATTCTGTTGGAGTTGATTCTTTTGGAGCAGATTCTGGGGTTATCATGGAATTACTGCTTTGATTTTAGCTCTGCTCTTTGAAATTTTTGCTCTGAATCGGAATAAAGTTCTCTATCAAAGTTCCTTTATTTATTATTATTATTAATCTAAAAAAAAGTTATTTTATTTACCTTTATATTGCTATTTTTAGTGAACCGTCATTATTGGTCAATTGTAATAATTTAAGTGGAAATAGTTAGGAGAAAGAAGAAGAAAGAAGTTGAACGGAAACTTGTTACACATGGTAATTATACAACGAATGGAATGGCAAAATGCATTTCATAAACTTTTAATACGCTAAATCCCACATGGAACCACTAAATAAACATGATTATTTGGGTGTGTTGAGCCAATAACTGGTCATTTAGAAGTCAGAATTCAGCTCTAACAACAAAAGTTTCCGTTTGTAATTTTACAAAACGATTTTGCTTGTCATTCAACGGTTTTTTTGTTTTTTTTCTTAATTTTTTTGTTTTGTTTTGTTTTCTTTTTTTTTTTAAGAAGCGAGATATCGTTTTATATTCCACTGAATGGATCCTGAAATTGTAGCTGATACCAGTGCAGAATGGGAATTAAAATGACTCTAATAAAGATGTATAAGAACCCATTTTGGTGGTTAATACGTTTTCATATTTTTGTTTTCCTTTATGCTCTTTTCCTCTGAATTATAAACCCTTGGGATTTATCTCTAGTAAAATATACTTTTCACTTTTCAGCTGATGTGGCTGGTTTAAAGTAATATTAACTGTGTATGTTCTTGACTTCTTGTTTTTAGGGACACCATATGAAGGTGGTATATATTTCCTTGACATCACTTTTCCCTGTGATTATCCATTTAAACCTCCAAAGGTATTCCCAATTTTAATGCTCTCATCTCTGAGTAATTTTATGTTTATTTTCTTGAAAAAAAAAAGAATAGAGAAGAACAGTAAAAGATGTGGAGTAAAGCGTTGAACTATGCAGTTAAGATCATTACATGAAAGCACTTGATTAAGCCCCCATTTGTTTTATTGGTTTAGTTTACTTCAACTCAGTTTAAACGGTGAGCACAGTTTAAATTAGTGTTTGGTAAGCACACAGTTTGAATTATATTTTCCATTTGAACTGAGTTGAACAGTCCAACTTAAAGTTTAGCTCCCCCCTCAACTTTAACCATTCAAACCATTTTTGAACAGTAAAAAGGTGCCTACTTTCTCTGCTTTTCACACCTACCAAACACAAACTCGAATTTTATTTCCTATTCAAATTAAACCTTTAACTACACAACTAAACGTCAATTCAAACTACAATTTAAACCACACAGTTTGATTTTTTCTGTACAAATTAAAAAGTTCAAATCAACAAAATTCAAACTAGCGAACCAAACGGAGACTAAAGGATCTGTTATATTGAAACAGATTTAGGATGCATGTATAAAACAAGAACATGTGCAAATGGCTTGAATTTAGTATAACTAATGAATAGGTTTTTTCAGGTTGTATTCAAGACGAGAATTTACCACTGCAATGTTGATGATGCCGGGAATGTTAGTTTGAAAATCTTGAAGGATGGCTGGAGTCCAGCTCGAACAATTACAATGGTGCTATCTGCAATCCGATTGATTTTCACGGAGCCTGACCCTTGTAAGTTCCACAACATTTTCTTAAAAAAAAAAAAAAAACAGAAGAAGATTGCCTCTTGTGTTCAGATTGTGTATGTTTTGGAAGAATTTGTTATACATGCAGTGAAAGTAGTTATTTGTGCTTTTGCACCGAAATACTCAAAGAAATAGAGAGTATGCTTGCATACTTGACTTCCCAAAATCAACCCCTTTCCATTCTATTCCACTTGAGCTGAGAATCTCTTACATCATTTGCGTGGATATCCACATTTTGCAGATAATCCTCTTGTTCCGGGTATTGCTCACTTGTATTTGGCAGATAGAGCTAAACACGACGAATTAGCTGCTGAGTGGACGCTGCGATTTGCCAGATGAATCCTATATCTTTGTGTGACTTGCTTATCTTCTAAGAACATCATTTTACAACAATTTTGTAAATATAGAACCTATCAACTGATGGGTCTAATTGTAAGCTTAATGCTCCACTGCATTTGTACTCGTTTCGGAATCAATGTACATATCTGATATTTCGATCTTAAACCTGTTAAATGACTGAGTAAAGAATTAGGAAGGACAAGATGCATATATATGCCCAGTCGTGAGAGTTTTGTAGAGTTGTAAACATAGTCAGCAGGTCAAAATGATGCACCTATGGAACAATTTTGGAGCTAAAATGTTTTGAATTGTAGAGAATTTTATTGGCAAACGAGACCTTGGTCAATGCTTATTACAAGCTTGCAGGATCGTGAACAGCCTAATTTTAACTGCTCTCATGTGAAAGGATGGCTGGATTTTAGTATTTTTTTACGGGACTTATTTTATTAAGATATAATTATGCATTTTTTAAATCAAATGAGATCTACAGTTGTGTCAAAGTATGTCGAAATTTAAGTAAATTTAACTACTGAGAACCCATTCTAGCAATAAATTATCAGTATTTTATTATTATAATACAATAACACTGAACACCCGCATGCAATTTGTATGATGTAATGTGGACCAGATATTAGCTAAGGATAGAAGAAATGATGGGAGGAGTTTGGTTACCTCATACCTACACGTGCATCATTTTCTTGAGCAGATTTCGCACCAAACACTTCTCTTCAGATAGGATACAAAATGAAGAGTCAATGCAGTTCTCTTGTCTAGAGAGAGAGAGAGAGAGAGAGAGAGAGAGAGAGAGAGAGAGATCAGATAAGAGGATAATGGCGAAGAGCATAAAGGAGGTGGGTGTGGAGGAGTTGGTGTGGAGGAGTTGGTGAAGGCGGGGCTAAGCATTGAGGAGGCCAAAGAGTTGGAGAGGCTCGTTAAGGATGCAGCCAAAGGGTGTGAGTTTGAGCAGCCGACCGAGTTGTGGCACGAGATTGTGGCTCGGAGGCTGCTCAAGCCATGGCACCCACATGAAGTGCACCAGCTGGTTTACTATTCCGTCTATGCCAATTGGGATGTCTCCAACAGAGGCCCTCCTCTCTACTGGTTCCCTTCTCTGTAATCTCCCTCTTTGCTTAATTCTGTTACTGTTGGATTTCTTTTTTTTTTTTTTTTGAATTGGTCATTTAGTTATCAATACTTTTGTGGTGTCTTACTAACGACCATCTCGTCATTCTCATTACGCGGTACACTTTGTTCAATAAATAGTTAGCTTTTTAAAAGATTTGTCCATGTTGTCGTTTTGTTTTGCTACAATTGCCATAAAAAATATACCTAAATCTCCTGCACTAAATTGATTTTCTTTTATTCTAAAAAAAAAAAAAAAACATGATTTTCTTTGACCTTTTCAGAAAAAAACGGTGCTGATCATTATTGAATAATAGAATTCTCATAAAGCAGAATCCTCAAACAAATGTTCTTTCTCAGAAAAAAACGGTGCTGATCATTATTGAATAATAGAATTCTCATAAAGTAGAATCCTCAAACAAATGTTCTTTAACATTCTACCTCAGCTTGTAATCTTTGATGGTTCGACCAATGCTCAGTGTTATTAACCCAGGTCCCTGAACATTTCTCAATAGCTAAGCTTTATTGTTGCAGATAACTATGACAGCATATGTTATAGGTTAGATCACTTTAATACTCCTAGTCTTAGCTGATTTTAATCTTATCTGTTAGATACGAGTCTAAACTTACAAACTTGGGACGTCTCATGGAGAAGTATGGTTCAGAGCTTTTGGGGCCTTTATATAGGGATCCTATAACAAGTTACAATATCTTCCATAAATTCTGTGTCCAGAATCCTGAGGTAAACGCTTATTTCATCTTTAGACTCGTATTATTGATTGTTTAAGTGGACGAATTTGATGACCTTTTTTTTTTTTTTTTTTAACACGGTCATCAGGTTTACTGGTCAATTGTTCTGAAAGATCTCTCAATTTCATTTCAAGAAGCGCCAAAGTGTATTCTAGACAGAACTGACGATTCAAAGTATAGTGGATCATGGCTTCCGGGTTCAGTTCTGAACATTGCTGAATGTTGTTTGTTGCCCACCGCCCATCCAAGGAAAAAGGATGATAATCCTGCTATCGTGTGGAGAGATGAAGGTTTTGATGATTCCGACGTAAATGTTACGACACTAAAGGAACTCCGAGAGCAAGTAATGTATGGTCTAATTTGCATTACCTCCGTATGTTAGATTTCCTGGTTGTTCATACTGCTGTGATATCAATGACATTCAGGTGTTAGGACGTTAATTGGATTATAGTTAAATGGAAGAAATTATTTTTTATAGGTTTGTAGAGCATAAGTTTCCACTAAATTGAATCAAATGAAGACATCTTGATTAGATGCTCGTATATTCACAATGAAACATAGAAAATTTCTTTTTACCATTAACGGTGATGCAACTACCACATGACAGTACATTAAAACTTTCATGGAATAAAGTGGGATCCAATTCTTTTACCTTTTACTATGTGACAGATATGTTTTACTAACACACGTATTGATGCATTGCCAATGGTTGTGATGAATAGGAGTGCTCTCAAACATATTGAATACAATTTCTCCGTTCATCTCTCTCGTCCTTCTTCTCTTGTTTGTGTCATTCTTATTTTCTCCTATTCTTCCTGTTTCTATGACATGATTAACAGGTTGGTGGCTAACGCGCTCGATGCTATGTTTTCGAAGGGTGATGCAATTGCAATCGACATGCCAATGACAGTTAATGCAGTAATCGTCTATTTGGCAATCGTACTATCAGGTCTTGTTGTCGTATCAATACCTGACAGCTTTGCTGCAAAGGAAATTGCAACACGTTTGCGTGTATCGAATGCTAAAGGCATCTTTACCCAGGTGAGTTTCACTCTTAGAAAGAAAGAATTTTAGACCAAATAAATGTCTGCAATATATTTCTTCTCTCTTTTCTCTCTATGCCTGCATTAGAAACTGACTTGCATTTACGGTTCCATACTAGTCTTGATGCTTTTCTGTTTGTTTTTGTAGTGCTTTGTCTGTAAATAATTTCTTTTGACCATTTCTACTTAGGATTTCATACCGAGAGGAGGTCGCAAGTTTGCTTTATACAGGTAAGATATTCTTGTCACAAGTTGGATGCTTTGTTGCTTTTGGTTATGGTTCCAACTCTTTTATGCCATTCCGTGGCTTTATCTCAAAAGCTGCTAGATATTTTGTTTTAAAAATAAATAATGAAGAAACTCTCCCAAAATAAAGCCTAAAATTTAAAAAGATAATAATTTATAGCCATGCGGTTCTTGTACCCAAGCTTAGAACAAGCAAGCAGGCTTTTGTTGTTCTCTTTATAAATAAGCTACGCTTCATACTTTCAACAATAAGAGAGAAGAAGTGTTATGTTTTAGCAATGGTCATGCCTGATTCCTGATAAGTTGCTTTTCAATGATTTATTATTATTATTTTTTTGAAAGGAGTTACTTCAATGAATTACTTGGTCTAAAAAGTAGTTTTTCTTTCATTGTTTTCCTTGGCCGCTTGGTTATGTACTTCTTATCATTTGGCGGTTTGCTTTGTCAAATTCACATCGATTGTTGAATTAGTGTAGACTTCTTATAAACATTGAAACCCAGTTTTTGTTTTATTCCTTCCCTCTTGGTTCTTCCACTTCTCTTCCAATTCTACTTTCCCTTTAACTCTCTGCTCTCTCCCATTTTTTTTTTCGTTTCGAATTATCAACTCTTTTGATCTTGCATTTCGTTATGGCTGTTGATTTCTTCTGCATATTTTCTTTATAAGATTAGATGAGTTCTTAGTTCTTACACTAATTTGTTAAGGTTCTACTAAATTTAATCAACTCTCTGCTCTTCTCATTGTGAAATGACTTGTCAAGTAATGTATATGTGTGTATACATATATATATTGGTAAGGTGAGATGAGACACCTGGCATAAGAAACTTGCGGATACCAATTAGGTTAGCACCTATTAGCAACTCTGTCCCACATCAAGTCTTTCTTTTTAAATAAAAAAAAAAAATTACTAAATAAAAATGAAAGTTGCAAAAGTGAAAGATAAAGCTGTTTTTTGTCTTTGCAGTCGAGTGGCAGAGGCTGTGCCAGATAAAGCCATTGTCCTCCCCGGGATTGGCAGAAGTGTAGACATTCAGCTAAGGGAACAAGATATAACGTGGGAAAATTTTCTTTCTAATGTCAAAAACCACTCGAGGTATCTATTCTTTAGCCAGTTTAACATTTTCTATTAACATATCATTGATGAACATATGTATAGGGAACCAGAAATGTTCTTTATGGTGTTGTCTTACACCAATCATTCTTTATGATAGTATTTATCAAAGCATCCTTTTTATTGGCAGATCAAAGTATTACTCTCCGTTCTATCAACCAATAGACTCTGTGATAAATATACTATTTTCATCTGGAACCACAGGTAAAATAATTTTTTAAACTCATCGTTGGCCTATATATTGTAATGCAAAATGGTTTTTACCATTGTTTTATCTGCATCTTCTATGTCATCTTGACTAGGGGAACCAAAAGCTATTCCTTGGACCCAACTTTCCCCAATTCGCTCTGCGGCGGATGGATGGGCTCATATGGATGTACAAGCTGGAGATGTTATGTGCTGGCCCACAAGTTTAGGATGGGTGATGGGTCCATCTATACTTTTCTCATGTCTTCTGTCTGGCGCAACTCTAGCTTTATATCATGGATCTCCTCTAGGCCGTGGTTTTGGAAAATTTGTTCAGGTAAGTACTGCACATAGACAATGAGGCTGATCAATGCACATAGAATCTTAAATTTACTCAATTACTGATAGAAAATGGGAAACAAAAAAAATGCAAGTATTATCATCAATAGCAAATCTTTTCTTGTTCCAAACATCTGTTCAGTTTTATTATTTTCTACAACTCTTGTCCAGGATGCAGGAGTGACTATTCTAGGTACAATTCCAACCCTTGTAAAAACTTGGAAGAGCACACAGTGTATGAAAGGCCTGGATTGGACAAAAATAAAGTAATTTTCTATTAAAACATTTGGTGATCAAACGTTTTTCTTTTTTGCTTTGACTTCTAACCAAGTAACTAGTATATAAATATATGCAGGGGGTTCGCAACCACAGGAGAAGCTTCTAATGTCGACGATGATCTTTGGCTCTCTTCCCAAGCGTATTACAAACCCATTATTGAATGTTGTGGAGGGACGGAGCTTGCATCAGCTTACATAGAAGGAAGTCTACTGCAGCCGCAAGCTTTCGGAGCATTCAGCACAGCATCAATGACAACCGGCTTTGTCATCTTTGATGAAAATGGAAAGCCTTATGTAAGTAAACATATACATCCTAGCTTTTATTTTTTATTTTTTTTAAATTATGGATTTTCCATTTCTGTGATATGTTGATAACAAGCGATAGGTCACACTCTTGGTTATAATTAATAAAATTTGAAGTTTCAAAGGTAATCTTGATGAATTTAGAGTTTTTTTTTTTTTTTCAACATATTAGAGTTTTCTTTTTTGACTAACATGACAGGCAGATGAGCAACCTTGTACCGGTGAAGTGGGGTTATTCCCTCTGTACATGGGAGCAACTTATAGGTTGCTTAATGCTGATCACGAAAAAGTCTACTTTAAGGGAATGCCACTATTCAAAGGAATGGTAAGGTTGTAGTTGTAGTTGTTAATTTCTTTTTATGTGTTATTTCTTTTTACTTAAGGTGGTTTTTTCTTTTTTTTTTCTTTTTTATTTTTTTCATTTGTGTTGTTGTGAACTGTGTTGGGGGTCCTATATGTAACTTTTCTCTTTAATTGATGACATTGTAAGTGTTCTTTGTCATCCGTTCTCTTCTTTTTGTTTTGCTTTTGTGCTCCAAGGATCAAAATTCTATTGATTCCAAAACTCTCAGTTTTATCCATCTCCTGAGAAGCTATTCTTACGAGTTTCTGCTAGAAATTTTTTCTAGTTAGCATCCATATGTGCTACTGTCAATTGCTCGATTACAAAAAAAGTTTCCACAGACAATGTATAAGTCAAATATCATACTTCAACTTGAGATATGTATTGGCAGCGCCCAAGGAGACATGGAGACATCATTACGAGAACTGTCGGAGGCTTTTTCGTTGTGCAAGGCAGGGCTGATGACACCATGAACCTTGGTGGAATTAAGGTATAACATTCACATTACATTCCTCCTTTTACCCAGAATGATATGGGAAAATGCAAAAATTTATAGATTTTCTTTCTTGACATGCAGACAAGTTCGATTGAGATTGAACGAGTATGCGATCGAGCTGATGAAAGCATCTTAGAGACGGCGGCAGTTAGTGTGGCTCCTATAAATGGGGGTCCAGAGCAGCTGGTTATATATGTTGTACCAAAGAGTGGATATAACTCTGAAGCAGAAAATCTGAGGATAAAATTCACAAAAGCAATTCAGAGCAACCTAAATCCTTTATTTAAGGTCTGAATCTCAATATTTTCCGTACAACTAAGGGGGCAAAAACTTGTCTTCATTTTCCTCCCCTTATTTCTCCAACTCCTTAATTTGATTTTGCAGGTAAGCTTTGTGAAGATTGTACCGGAGTTTCCACGGACGGCTTCTAACAAGTTACTAAGGCGAGTTTTAAGGGACCAAATAAAGCATGAGCTCTCGGTTCGCAGTAGAATTTAGCAGGATATTGACTCTCTTCCAAAGGAATCATTAGAGAGGGAATGTTGTGTCATAAATTTCATCAATTGTGTAAATGTTCCTTATTTTGTCATGATATTTGCGATAATATTATGAGTGACTGGATGCCTTAAAGGATATAAGCGAAGCGCACTCAAGACATCCTTGCATTTGCATGCATGCATGCATGCACAACCTTTATTGCTTGTCTACTTTTACCTTGTCAAGTGATCTTTGAAAATCTGGCCACTGAAAAAAGCCAACGGAAAGATATGCAAATAGCTACATTTCTCTTCACGTTTCTTTTTTGTAGCAATTCTTTCGAGGACGTTTGGTTTATATATTCAGAATCATGATTCAGAATCATTCTCGTTTTACGTGTGTTTTTTATGAGAGAAAATACTGTAGAGAATCATGAATATAGGAAACAAACGTCTCTGATCATTTCTAAAGCTAATTTTGTTCGAGTTTGCAATCCCACTAGATGCTACAAGTTTGTTTAACGTGTGCATTATGCTACAAGTTTGATTTTTTTTTTGTCTCTATTTTATTTTGAAAAAAAAAAAGGCTTGAGGATACACAACTCATGAAAGGTGAGCCTTTTTGACTCACTTTCTATGGGTATTTGGTGTATGATACCTGCCAGTACTCGTAACGATGTTTTTTTTTTTTTTTTTTTTTAACTTGAGAAAATTGTATACAGAGCCCTTCATATGTGTTACTCTTGATTTATGCTCTTCGTTATTTACTCTCACCCTTTTGACCAATTGCTTATTTTAACCAGATATTCGTTCGTATTCTTTCAGGCAAAAAATTAAATTGACGTATTTCTTAATTCAATTCAGTGAAAAACGAAATGAAACGAAACTCAGGTTACAATACCATTTCCAAAACACTTGCGTTGAGTAACATGCAAAAAGATTTCAAAAAGGAAAATATTATAGTTGGCATTCCTACTCAAATTCTACTCTTTTAAAGTTGGCATGCGTTAGTGGATTTTTTTTATTTATTTCTTTATTAAAGGGTTGCAGAAGAAATGTTTTATCCTATTAATCGGAGGAGGATTAAACATCTAAGACTTGTTCATTTTACTGATTTGAATTATCAATTTTAGATTTCTAAAGTTAAAAACTCTTAGAAAATATCACATTTAATTTTTTTTGTTATAGTTAAAAATTCTCAAAAAATGTCACATCTCAGTTTAAATTGAAAACTCAAATCCGTGCAGCGAATGAGACCCTAATCGGTGTAAATAATACCATGCCACACACCCTATGATCATCCAAAACAGTTCCTAGTCGTTTCCCTATCAACTTGCAAGTCCAACAAATGAGAAGACTCAAACCAAGTGAGGTCACCCCTCAATTATTGATCAATGTTGCCCCGCTATATCATTGTCCCTCACGTGTTAAGGAACTAAACTAGGCCACCTATTGGTCTATTAGTCTATTCAGTAAGTGGGTCCAAAATACTTTTGTCAAACTGATTAAAGTTTTGGTCCAGATATACTCTTATCAAATTGATCAAGTTTTGTCACGGTTTTTGTTTCTGGTTTTTTATTTTTATTTTTATTTTTATTTTTTATAATAAATAGTTAGATAATACAAGTTATAAATAGGTTTTTCTGACACAGAACTCTGAGGATGATAGTGTTGGAGGGAATCTTCAACCCTACCGATCTTCATTGTGACGACAAAAATATTCCAAGATGACTTTCACTTTTTTCTGGTGTTATTATAAGGCGATGACTTGATTTGGTGACCACAAATAGTAAGAGAGAGATACACGCAAGAAAATAAGAAGATATACAGATATATATATAATATATCATGTTACTGTGTATATAAGACAAGGCATGTTTGCAATGCTGCATGCTTGAGAAGAATCATCTACATAGTTTTGGCAGTTATTTTCACCATACTCAAAAAAAAAAAAAAAAAAAAAAAGTTGCAACCTAACTTGCTGAAACTCAGAATAGTAATTAATTTGCAGTAATCTCGTATCACCTGGCTTGTAGGTCATTGATCTCAGAGAACACAGCCCCAGATGTGTCTCCCCAGCTGCAATATTCATGTCTAGACGTCGCACCATCGCCGATCATTTCAACTTGGAGCGTACCATTCCTGATATTTTCCCCAAAGTTCTGCTGCAGCTGCATTGCAGTTTCTAGTCCCCATAATACTTCCTTCATCGATGGCCGTTCCACTCCGTTATCAAGAATGCAACTCACCGCGATCTCACCGAACTTCTTTAGACACTCGGGTGCAATCTTACCTATCAGATATGGATCTACAATCTGGTCAAGTGTCCCGTCATGATAGCAACTTCTGGCCCACTCGGCTAGGCTCATTTTCATGCTCTCCACCGTCGGCATCACCGGTGGCCTACCACATAGTATTTCACACAACACAACACCGAATGAATACACATCCGACTTCTCCGTTAACCGTAGCAGTCTGTAGTATTCTGGGTCCAAATAGCCGATACTGCCTTTGACCATTGTGCTCACGTAAGTCTTTGATGTGTTAGAGGGCCTCACTTTTGACAAACCAAAATCTGAAACCTTGGCCACCCATTTCTCATCCAATAAAATATTTGTGGTCTTTACATCACGATGAATGATTGTTTGATTTATGCCTGCATGAAGGTAGTGCAATCCATTAGCGGCTCCAGTGCAAATCTGGAGCCGTAGCCTCCATGAGAGAGGTGGATTTTCGGTGTTGTAGAGATGATCGGAGAGCGTCCCACGTGCCATGTACTCATACACAAGGATCATCTCGTTCTTCTCATCACAATAGCCGATTAGTGAGACGAGATTGAGGTGGCGAAGATGGGAAAGCATCTCGATCTCAGTCTTGAACTCCTGGATCCCCTGTGATGACTCTGGTTTCAGCCGTTTGATCGCAACAGTGGTGGCCCCACCATCAATATGCCCTTTATACACGTTGCCAAACCCTCCGACCCCAATGATGTAATTATCATTGAAGTTTTTCGTTGCAGCTTTGATTTCAGCCAATGAAAAGTAACGACATGGATCGGACGGTAAAGATGAGGAGCCTGGAGTCTTACTTGACCTGGTCGTACCAAACGGAATAGGGCCACACCAAGTTGTTCCATCACTAGAACTTGTATTCTTGAAACCTCTCCTGCGTAGGAGAATTGTAAGGAAACCGAGGACAAAGAGGAAAACCACGCTGCAAACTATGGCTGAAACGATTGTTATGATTTGCTTTCGCTGTTTAGGGGATGGGACATGCTGAATTGGATCGGCAAGGTTGCCATTGGAGTTGTTCAATTTGAAGATTTCTACCCCATTCAAAATTGCATCTGGATATACGGACATCCAACCAGATGGGTTTGCTTGTAGTGCGACAGAAAGGTTTACTTTCTTTGCACCTCCTCCTACTCTCAACATTGCAACGATGTAGTCTTTAAAATATGGAATATATTTACCTCCAGTCCAGCCGATCACATCTGCTTGTCCCTCCGCGGTTTGATTTGTTATGAAAATAACAAAAGTTCGATCACCGGTTGAGTTTATCTCGACAGTAATCTCACAAAAGTGCAACCTTACCATGTAAAAAAATCCCGAATCTACAGGGAATTCCCAGGTGAGTTTGTATTTTATGTTCACGTCTCTATCAGGCCCCATAGTGCGTGCAGTCTGATAGACATCTACCGGTGCTATATAATATGGAATTCTTGAGAAGCTGAGGTTAGAAGAAAGGGAAGAAACAACTACACTTGTACGTGGTATCGCCAGGTATTCATCTCCTGATCTATATGCGCCTTGCCAACTTCGAAAGAAACCAGTATCATCGTCTGGAGAGATAGGGCGTCCACCAATGTTAACTCTATACATCATCTCAAGAGCGGTGTTGTTGCTGAACATGTAAAAAGAGTTTTGTCCCACAAAACTAATTCCACCAGGGCGTCCTTCAGGATCCCAATTATATAGTTCAGCGGGCATGGACACGATTTCAATACCATTGACGAACGCAATAGCACGCGGAATTGAAGAACTAGGAGAGAACTTTATGTTCAGATCACTTGACTTGGAGACGGTCACACAGAATTCCTTCATCATGGATTTTCTTCCGAGAGCTTCAGCAGCAAGATCGACGCTGAAGTCGGTTAGGAGGGTGTATTCATCGGTTTTGACAGAGAAGATGGCCTTGGAGCTATCAAAGTTTTTGTATATAGCTGAGTAGAAGTACAAACGTATGAACTTTGGCCCGGCGGTATGCACGGGTATGACATACGTGAATTCAGAGAGGGAGAGCCTCGCAGTTCCGTAAGGGACAGGATCGACTGATTCCGTGAGCATTTGATTAGCAACAATCGCCGGTGAGGCAATCGATGCGTTATTTTCACCATTTAAGGGAAAAAACTTAGAGTTGATATCTCCAACCCAGTTTCGCGGGCTATCTGTCGATGTGTTTTTTTCTGAAGAGCCACAGTCGATGGTTATGTCGTCGGCAGGAGAGTAACGATCAAGCGACTGTCCGTTGGTGATATGAACTCTGAGGATGAGGGAGAGATAAAAGGGGAACAAAATCATCACGGCGTTTTGAAGAGGAGGAAAAATGTGATGTAGCTAATTTCAGTCATACAATACATGGATAACATATACCACATACAGCCAGATCGATTGATCATAGCGGCAAGTAGACGGACCACGTTACACGCTTGACTCTGGAAAGTAATATTCTCTTTGATTATTCTGCTGACTTAACACATAGGAACAATGACATCTGCACAGCCTGTTTAAATTGACTTAAAAAAAACCCCCACTTTTTTAGCTTATTTAGTCAAAAAGTTTGCATTTGAGGCTGTTTGCATGGATAATATGAAAGTGGTTTGGGGTTTTTTTTTTTTTTTTATTTTTTTTTTTTTTTTTTTTTTTTTTTTTGACTAGTCACCTCCTAAGAACTTGTTTGGAAGAGCTTCTTAAAAGTTATTTTTGGCTTCTTAGGTTTAAAAGCTGCTTCTTCTGAAAGTTTTTGAATGATTTGTCAAAAGTGTTTTGACTTTTTAAAAGAGCTTCCAGTCAAAGCTACAAAATGAAGCTTCTAAAAAAGCATTTCTAAATAGATTTTGATATTCATACACCAAAGTTTCACTAAGAAAGTATGAACTTTATTCTAACACTTTTATCGCTTATTAGAAAATTTATAAATCACTTTGACTAATTAAACTCTTAGTTCTGAACACTTATTGAAAAATCACATCTTTTGCTTATCTTCTTCTCTTGGCTAAAAACAAAAGCAAAAGCTCTGCCAATTGAGCCCTAAGTGTTTATGGAAAAAAAGCTTATTAAAAACTTTTTTATTTACATTTTTAACCTCTTATTTACGAACACAAATTAAAATTCCTTTTATATTCTTGTTTACATTTTTATCAAATATTTTTAAAAGCTCTTCTAAAATAATAATAATAAAGCTCTTTCTCATTCACAATTTAAACATTAATTAAAAAACTCGACTTATACTTATCTTCTTTTACTGCTTAAAAATAAAAACTCAAACTCTCTCAAATGGACCCATTGTATACTCTTCTCTTTTCTTTTTTCTAATAATATATATATATATATATATGCGCATATATATATATATATATGCTTTTTGACGGAGCTATATACCCTCTATCTCCGGCCCCTCCTTCGAAAGGATCAAAAGTAGGAGTAATAATTCGTATCACGTGTCGTATTTTGATATTTTTTTTCTTAAATTTGCAGTTAACCCGAAACGACCAGTGACACGAAAGTTTTAAAAAACCGTAACACGAATACGACACAACTACTTTATGAGTTGATATGACACAAAAATGACCCATGATACTAAATTGATCCGTGAATATGAAATTGACACGAAAATTATATATATATATATATAGTTTTTTACACATTAGAAATAACTTAAAATTCATAACAAGCTAAAATACAATAACATCCATCAAAATTAAGCAAATAATAGTATAAGATTTTGAGTATAACTGTGATGATATCACAAGTTCATAATAAAATCCAAAATATGTAATGAAAAAAATATATATGTTAGTTTTTTACGAGTTTTGTGTCGTGTTTGGATTAGGTGGGTCCAACACGAAATTGACCAATGTTTTTAATGTCAATTTCAAGTCGACTCAATTCTAATCCAAACCTTTTTTATCTCAACCCTCACCCGTGAAATTCGTGTCGTTTTTGAGTCGTGTTGTCGTGTCGTGACCCATATTACCGGCTCTAGTTGAAAGGTTTTTCAAATGGGGAAAAGTCTTCATTTCCTTTTTATACTTTTCTTTTTCTTGGAGTTGACCCGAGGTGTGGCTATGAGAAATATAAATAAAAACTATCTAAATGATTTTCTCAAATTAAAAAAAAAAAAAAAAACCTACTTAAGTTGCGCAAATAGTACGCTTCTTCATTTTCATCAAGGAGTCCAAATTACTTGCTATTATATCTCTTAATCTACAAAATATATACTACTGTGACCACTGACCAAAGTCACGTTTATGCGGCAGAATCCTTCATCCATGAAATTTTCAAAAACCTCAAAGAACATTTGTGGCAAGTTTTTTTTTTTTTTTTTTAATTTTTCAAGTAGCACCTTTTAATTACACTCAGCCTAGAGGCATGCAAAGAATAAGCTCCTGTTACCGTCTCTAGGTAACACTTTGGTCTCCTTTTTAATCTTTGAAAATTAATATTTATTCCAATGGAGAAAAAAATTCCATACTCATAAAATAATGAGTTTTACTTAGTTGAGTCCTACCTACTTAGTAGAACTCACTTTATATGAATAACAAGGTTTTAACCCCCATCTGTATGAATAGGATTGCCCTAGTCTTCTAGTCTTTGGTCACTTGACTATTAACACACAATAAATTATCGACTGCACACGAAACAGAAGTAGAGTCAGTTTTAAGAGCAGTTTCTTCATTAATTTGCAAGTATCACTAATTATGACTCCAGAAAAAAGAGATACTCTCCTACAATACATGTGTAGGGATGAGCATTTTATCCGTAAGTGTGGGTACCCGCGGGTACCCATTCAAATAAAGCGGGTATAGAGGTTATTGTCCTCCGAATCAGAAGCGGGGCAGGTGTGAGGGAAGTACCCCAATCCCGATATACATATACATATATTTTTAAAAATGTTTTTAATATAAATATATATTTTATATTATAATAGTACTTAAAAGAATACGGATTCTGAAAAAAATTTAAAAGTATTGTACTATTTTACCATCTTAAAAATAGTGTATTTTTTCATGCTTATTGCTTATTTAGAATGAATTAAACTGAATTGAAATATTATTTACTTTCATAAATTTTTTGTTACAGGCACTAAGTTATAGAGCTTGGATTTTCTTTTGAAACCTTGGTTTGTTTTCATTAGATATTAATGCTATGTTGGTCAATTTTAAATTTAATTTGATGCAATTTATTTAAGTGTTAAAAACATCGTAATATTTTTTTTTTCTTATTGAGTACATGGGTAAGATATAAGGAAAGTCTCCTCAATGGGATGCTCCAATCCCGACCCCGAATACACGGGTAGGTATGAGGGGCGAAGGTGAAAGCATGGGTGGGGGTGGGGGAAACATACCCAACTCCGTTCCGTCCGATGCTCATCCCTGTACACATGTGGTCAGTTTATGTGATATGTAGTACTGTTTGAAAAGCATACTATGTCTAAACGAATAATGCAAGCATCTCATATTGTAAACTTCAATATACCCCCAATGTTAGATTTCAACAAAATCAAATAAGACTTCAAAAAAATAATAATAATGAATCATACTCATAAAAGTTATTAAAAATTAATTTTGGAAATCTAAACAACAAGGGGGTGGCGTTGAAGGGCAAGACAACAACACGAGGCATTTTCAGCGACGCTGGATAAGACAATTTCGGGCTAAAGATAGGTGGACTTAATTATGGGGGTTGTCCTCAATAGTTTTCAGGGTATTGAACCTCGTGAATGTTTGCCTACCGCACACTTTGCCCGTCAAGTTGTTTTATTAGGTACTAAGGAACCTGTATTTATTTTCTATATGTTGTACCGCATATTGACAAGTCAAAATCAGTGTACCGAGTTGACAATACAAAAACTGATCAGAGCTCAAACGAGCCCTAGCTCAAGTCTTGTAATGCTCATTAAGAGACTTATTGCAACATAATATTGCAAGCCCTAAAGGCATCTTTCAACTCCTTGAGCAAACAAATTGATCACAATAAGAGGTGAGTATCATGTGAAAGGTTGTTTGATACAAGTCAAATGAGGTGATTTAGTAACTATGAATGGTGAAAAAGTGAAAAAATTAGAAATCTGATCCTCGATCAAGTGCAATTAATGTAAAAATTTTCCCATGTTTAGGCTTTGCGTAGTTAGGTGAACACATGTTTGATTCATTTTTTTTTTCCTGAGAGAAAATTCATTGCGTTTTAGGCTCAAAACCAGACGTCGTGGGTTAACGCCTAAAACTTAGGTAAAGTTTCGGGGCAAACTTATAATTTCAAAAGTCGTAACTCTAATTCAAAGCTTAATAAAATTGTTTTATCTTCATCGCTATGTACAACACAAGTGGTTTCTTTCCTTGATTTTTGGCTATGTCAAATAACCACTTCATTGTGTCAATCTATCTTTTTTATGATTATTTATTTTTTGCATGAATTTTTATATTCGTGTTAACAGGCCAATATTTGTTTTTCTGGTCCTTTTATCGTGACGGTCACTGATATATAATGGTCTGTTATGTCCGACAAAAAATAATTCAGGATCAAAGTGGTAGACGGGCAAGAATTCAATTAGGTGAGCATCAATGCGAACAATGCCAATTACTCAAAATAAAAAGACGGCTTTTGTCTTTTCTTTTCTTATTGTGTCCCTAGTCCGTAATAAGATAAATTTTTAAGGCGTAATTCGTTTTACAGATTTAAATTTTTAATTTAAATTAAGATATAATATTTTTTGAGAATTTTTTACTGTAATAAAAAATGTTAGATATGACATTTTTTAAGAATTTTTTATTATTAAAACTTAAAATTAAAAATTCATATTAGTGAAATAAATGAGGTATAAATTAATTGCTAATTTGGTCCTTCAACATTCGAATTTGGCTTGTAAGAGTGGGTTCACTATTTTTTTTTTTTTTCAAAATCTAATTTGGCTTTTTAAAATGGGTTTCTCTTTTTTTTTTTTTTTTTTTTTTTTTTTTTAATGAAAGGCGGCTACTGTTGACCAAATCACTGGCGGCTCAGTGTCTTGTTCATTCATTGGCAGTCACTAACCTTTGACTAAACTCTATAAAATTATTTTAATATATCATAACTATCTTTTTAAAAAAAAAAAAAAAATTAAGGAAGCTCTGATTAAATTAATTACTGCATAGATATTAGCCGAAGAGTTTGGTAGCCTACCCCCTCACGTGGCTAAACTCAACATTTTTCTCACCAAACAATTTGACAAAGGAAGGAACTACTCTGTCTGTCTTAAACAGAGCAGAAATAATTTTTTTTTTTTTCCCAATCTGATCATCTGAAAGAGAAAGATCAGATACGGGAATAATGGCGAAGAGCATAAAGGAGGTGGGTGTGGAGGAGTTGGTGAAGGCGGGGCTAAGCATTGAGGAGGCCAATGAGCTGGAGAGGCTCGTTAAGGATGCAGCCAAAGGGTGTGAGTTCGAGCAGCCGACCGAGTTGTGGCGCGAGATTGTGGCTCGGAGGCTGCTCAAGCCATGGCACCCACATGAAGTGCACCAGCTGGTTTACTATTCCGTCTATGCCAATTGGGATGTCTCCAACAGAGGCCCTCCTCTCTACTGGTTCCCTTCTCTGTAATATCTCCATCTCTCTCTCTCTCTCTCTCTCTCCATCTCGATCTCGATACATGTGTGCGCGCGCGCGCGTGTTTTGTATACATGTTTCATTACCTTAATTTACTATGTCCACTTGTTTCATTCTTGGGCTGTCTCTTTGTATACTTCTGATCATGTTATTAGGAGTAGTTACGAAGTACTTTTTTTTTTTTTTTTTTCGCTAGCATTGTGACTACATGAGCCTTAGTTATACACACACACTCTCTTGTTCTGATTTCTCAGATGCATTACGTTTATTTATTTATTTTTATTTTATTTTTTGAAATTGGAAGCGGATCGTTTGAGGGACGAGAATTACGATTAAGCCAACAAATAGGAGTGTTTTTTTTTTTTTTTTTTTTTTTTTTTTGTGATACTATATAGGGTCAGTTTGATATTGCCATAAATTTTAAAAAAATTACTACTGACATAAAGTAGATGAGTGCTTAATAAATTATAATCTTAAAACGGTTGTTAGTGAGAGTACTTTGGCAATTATGAAATAAAATGGATAGTCTTTTGAGTATTTAAAAATATTTATTAAAGAGAGAGATTGACACTGAGTGCAGCTTTTAACTTCTTTCATAAACACTTTTTTTACTTTTTTACTAAACACAAAAACAGCCGAAACTTATGTTTGATGGTTCCACCAATATTAGGGGAAAAATTTATGTGCATATTTTATCATACTAGTTTTACCTATCATCTCTTTATTTTATTTTAGTTTCATAATTTTACTCTCAGATATGAGTCCAAGCATACGAACTTGGGACGTCTCATGGAGAAGCATGGTTCCGAGCTTTTGGGGCCATTATACAAGGATCCTATAACAAGTTATAGCCTCTTTCAGAAATTTTCTGTCCAGCATCCTGAGGTAAGTATTTGCTTTGTAAGCCAAGTTTATTTACTCATTTATTTATTTGAAAGTGGAAGTATTAAATGAGTTGTTGTAACATGGTTTATTAGGCTTACTGGTCAATTTTCCTGAAAGAACTTTCGGTTTCATTCCGAGAAGCCCCGAGGTGTATCCTAGATAGAACTGACAAATCGAAGCACGGCGGATCATGGCTTCCAGGCTCAGTTTTGAACATCGCCGAATGTTGTCTGTCTCCCACCGCGTATCCTAGGAAAAATGATGACAGCGTAGCTATTGTATGGAGAGACGAAGGTCACGATGATGCTGCTGTAAACAGTATGACTCTAAAGGAACTTAGAGAGCAAGTAATGTATGTTCTGAGTTGCATTATCCATTTACAAAATTTCTACTTATTCATGTTTCTTGCCTATCAATTACATCCAGTTCTTGTTGTGACACAAGTGCCATTATCATTTCATCATATCAAATGAATGAAGTTGCTAATTTCTTTTGTTGCTTTGATTTAAAAAAAAAAAAAAACTTATTCCTGCCATATTTAAAATCTTGAGAAACCTGTGTTCTGTTCTTCACAATATTAGGCTAAGGTTGATTGATATCCTCTGCATATGTGTATCTTCACTACAAATCTTGTCATTAACCTCATGATCATTTACATTTTCCTATGGTATTTGCGTATGCACTTTTAAATAACTTGCTTTTATATTGCTTCGAAAAATAAAGATTATAATCGGAGGTAATGATGTTTTCTTAAACAGAAACAAAAAGAAAAAATGAACATGGAGCCAGAAATTAGTGTCTAAGGCTCTTGCAGTTAGATAATTCTCTGTTGTATTGATAACAACATTCGAAAAATGGTGAATCCAATGGAAACTTATTGGGTATCGCTTGATATTCCAATGGACATCTAGAAATGTCTGCATATATGTTTGTCTGTAGTGTGTCTAGAATATTAATTCTTACATTGTCTCCATTTCATATGATATTTTTCGATAATGTGATTCGCAGGCTGGTGGCTAATGCACTTGACACGATGTTTTCAAAGGGTGATGCGATTGCGATTGACATGCCAATGACAGTTACTGCAGTTATTATATATTTGGCCATTATACTATCTGGTCTTGTGGTTGTATCAATAGCTGATAGCTTCGCTGCAAATGAAATTGCAACTCGCTTGCGAGTGTCGAAAGCCAAGGCTATCTTTACCCAGGTGATTCTTCTTCTAGTTTCCTCTGTCTCTCCTCTGTCTCTCTCTCCCTCTCTCTCTCTCTCTCTCTCTCTCTCTCTCTCTCTCTCTCTCTCTCTCTCTCTCTCTCTAGCTTGAAATAACTTGTAAATCTAAATTCGAAGACCAAGATCCAGCTTGTTTGTGTAGAGTTTGTGTCGTGCTTCTTTATCCCGGAAATGATTTCTTCTTCAATTTTGTGCACAGGATTTCATAGTAAGAGGAGGTCGGAAGTTTCCTCTATACAGGTAACAAACACTTTCCAAATGTCTATATGTATTTTAGGCATTAGAATGTGAGGGACAAAAGCCAAATGATTAAATGTCAATGTTAATCAAAAATGAAGTTTTAGAACCTTCAATATGGTTATTTTATTTTATTTTTTATTTTTAAAGTTCTTCATAAACTAATGTTCAAATAAAATGGATCACCAGTTTTTTCATGATATTCTTTCCTTCTCGCAGCCGAGTCGTCCAAGCTGCACCGAGTAAAGCTATTGTCCTCCCTGCAACTGGTAGCAATACAGGGGTTCAGTTAAGAGCACAGGATATATCATGGCATGATTTTCTTTCCAATGTTAGTAACCATTCAAGGTAACAAAAAAAATGCATAAAAGAATGTCTTCCACTACCATTTAATATTCTGTCCTACCAATAAATTTTGTGATAGAATAATTGTGTTATTTTGTTGGCAGATCAAAATACTACTCTCCATTCTATCAACCAATAGACTCTGTGATCAATATACTTTTTTCATCCGGAACCACAGGTAGAAGAATTGTTTAAACTCACAATTAGTGCAATATTCTTTTAATTATGACTTTTATGTGTATATTTTGGTTTTTTTAATCTTCATCAGGAGAACCAAAGGCTATTCCATGGACACAACTTTCTCCAATTAGGTGTGCAGCAGATTCATGGGCTCATATGGATGTACAAGCTGGAGATGTTTTGTGTCAGCCAACAAATTTAGGATGGGTGATGGGCCCCATTGTACTTTTCTCATGCTTTCTCTCCGGCGCAACTCTTGCTTTATATCATGGATCTCCTCTAGGCCGTGGCTTCGGAAAATTTGTTCAGGTAACTCAACCAATACTTTCTCTGCCTGCATTTGTTGTAATGCAAATTCTTGTTGGCTTAAACAAAATGTGCCGAAAATAAGGTAGAAGAGAAAAGGCATTTTGAAATCATTATTATTAGGCCGAAGATTTTTTCTTGGCAATTTAGCCTTGAACTTAAAGAATGATAGCAATTAACTCCAATCACTAAGGGGGTTTAACTCTTGAATGGAATGATTATAGTTGTTTTTAGCACGTATACCCCTAAACTTGTAGTAGTTTGGCATTTTCGTCCTAAAATTCTCTCTTGGGAAATTTAGTTCCTAAATTAATCCTAGAGTGTGCTAAAATTTATCTCTTGTTAACGATTTTTTGAAAATCTATCAACTTGAAATTATTGTAGGGACGAAGAAAAAATCATTGCGACCAAATACTAAAAAACCAGGAAAAAAATTAAGTTTATCAGTAGCAAATAATGTTTTGAAGAACACTAGCACTCTTGGTCCAAACATCTGATATTCTACTATGATACATTTTCCAGGATGCGGGAGTGACTATTTTAGGCACAGTTCCAAGCCTTGTGAAAACTTGGAAGAGTACAAAGTGTATTAGAGGCCTAGATTGGACAAAAATAAAGTAATCTTCTCTACAAAGTTTGGTAAACTTGTTATTTTGTCCATGACTCGCAAGAAACTAATTAGTATATGAAATATATGCAGGTCATTTGCTTCAACAGGAGAAGCTTCTAACGTGGACGATGACCTCTGGCTATCGTCACAAGCTTATTACAAGCCCATTGTTGAGTGTTGTGGAGGGACAGAGCTTGCATCATCTTACATACAAGCAAGTCTGTTGCAGCCGCAAGCTTTTGGAGCGTTCAGCACAGCATCAATGACAACCGGCTTTGCCATCCTTGATGAAAATGGAAATCCTTATGTAAGAATGTTCCAGAGTCGATTATTTGATAAATTTGGAGCATGTATGTTTAGTTTACATGTTCATTTATTTGTTTGTTTGTAATTTTTGACCAACATGGCAGCCGGATGATGAACCTTGTAGCGGTGAAGTGGGGTTGTTCCCTCTATACATGGGAGCGACTAATAGACTGCTTAATGCTGATCATGAAAAGGTTTACTTTAAGGGAATGCCAGTGTACAAAGGAATGGTAAGATCAGAACTACCCTCTTCAAAATCCTCTCAGAGAAACCACGCTTTTAACTTCGTAGTCGTGTCTATTTGTATTTGTAGTGACATTGATCTCAAGAAGAGAAATGATTTTGTGAGCTTTTTCCCAAGCAGAATTCATAATATTAGCAATTTTGTGGTTTCATATAGTCAATATAGTAAATCCTAAAAAGGGTCTTGTAAATGTAAAATTTTTTCTTCAACTTGAGATATATATTGGCAGTGGCTCAGGAGACATGGAGATATCATTAGAAGAACTGTTGGAGGCTTTTTCGTTGTACAAGGGAGGGCTGATGACACCATGAACCTTGGTGGCATTAAGGTATATTATTCACACACCTCTTTTTACGTGGAATCTTAAGTGAGAATAAGCATTTGTTACTAACTCAGTCATGTCTGAAGGAGATTTTTGAAATGTATACGTCTATTTTGCTTGTCGATATGCAGACTAGTTCTGTTGAAATCGAACGTGTGTGTGACCGTGCTGATGAAAGTGTCTTGGAGACGGCGGCAGTTAGCGTGGCTCCTGCTAATGGGGGCCCAGAACAGCTGGTTATATACGTGGTATTGAAGAATGGATACAACTCTGAAGCAGAAAATCTGAGGACCAAATTCTCAAAAGCCATTCAAAGTAACCTCAATCCTTTGTTTAAGGTTTGATTCTCAAACTTTTGCATATACCTAAATGGGAAAAAAATGGGGGCATAAAAAACCACGATTTACCATATGAATTACTTAAAAGTTTTGGATTTCGGATAAAATTCTTGATGAAGAAATGGTACGAAACTGATATTGCGTATAATGGATTGATTTTTTTGACTTGTATGCGTCATTGTTTTTAACACTTTAAATGAATTAACAGGTGAATTTTGTGAAGATTGTTCCGGAGTTTCCTCGAACAGCCTCTAACAAGTTGCTAAGGAGGGTTTTGAGGGACAAAGTAAAGCGCGAGCTTGCGGTTCGGAGTAGAATTTAGTGACAACAACACCTACTCTTGCTGTTTTGCAATGGAGTTCCGGAAAAAATTAAAAAAAAAGAAAAGGAATGTGTATTTAGAATGAGGAGGGTATGCTAATTCAGAGCAAGAGAGAAGGGTATGTAAGTTTCACTAAAGTTAATTTTGCTCCAAAGTGTGAAAATGTCACATTCAGAGGGGGTGTTTCTGCATTGTATAAGTTTCTATGTCTGCAGTTTTTCCAAGAAGAAAAAAAAAAAAAAAGTTTTTGTCTGCAAATGTTGTTGCATTGCATGAGAATATGCAACAAAATTTCTTTCGTCCAAAAAACTCAAAAAAAGACAACTCGAGTTTTAACTTTATTCAAGTTCACGTTCTTTTAAGTTTTAATTTTATTCAATTTTACTCAACTTTAATCAAGTTACAACTTCAACTCAAATTATAACTCAAATTCAACTAAAAAATTACACTCAAATTACACTCTAAAAGAACAACTCCTAACTTTCTCAAATTGTAAAGCTCTAAATGACCAACAGTATGCAGAATGAGTGAAATTAATGTGTTCTGGCACATTTGTCTTCAAGTTGGACATCCTCGCCCTTCTCCGGCTTAGGATTCCAAACTGAGTGTGGTAGAAAATAAAAAAAACAACACCTTATGGCACTATCTGATATAAGTAAGAAGTGAAAAAAGTCTTAGGTGACTTTTATTTTAAAGATTCTGTCTTATTTAAGATCATGATTTGTAGTTCTATTATAATGTTTTTCTCTAAAAAAAAAAAATTAAATTTTAAAAATTAAAATTACGAACTATGATTCTAAACTCATAAATCAAACGTCACATTATATTGATGATTGGAGTACATTATACGTATATCCTAGGAAGTCGTGACACTTTTTTTTACTAATATATTAAACGTTGTTTCTGCTATGGTCCAAGGGTCATATTTGCCACTAACATGTAAAGTAAAAAGTGTAACAAAACCCCCTAAAAAAAAAAAAAAAAAAAAGAGTGTAACAAAACATTTATTAACGCTGACCTTGGAAATGAGTAACATAATGAAATTTAACATGGCATTATTGTATGTATCCTTTATTGCCTATTCCAATATTTATTGTAGGAGATTGTACTAAATTTGACTACTGTTATTTTTATTATTTTTTTATTTTTTGTAAATGACTAGTTAGTCTCCAAGTTAATGGCAAATCTAAATGAAACTAAGCCAAAACTTTGAACTTCTTGTTGTTAATCATTATTACTTGTTTATGAAAAGCGTTAGTTTCATAAATATACATTCAAATTTCAAGTTTTTCTCAATTCATCCTCCTGTTTTTTCTATAAAAAGAAATTCATCATTCTATTTTTAAAAAAACTATAAAGATATCCTTTTGATTTAGTCTTATTTTACTTTCCTTACCGCCCATTCTAGATGCTTAATTAATTTTACTTTAATTTTTTTATAAAAATAAGTTTTAAGATATAAATTTGGCTCAAAAGTATTTTTATGACCTCGTTAATTTCACCGATTCAAATAAAAATTCAAGTTTTATTACAGTAAAAAATTCTAAAAAATAATCACATCTAACTTTTTTATTACAATAAAAAACTCTTACATAAAGTCACATATCAACTTCAATTAAAAACTCGAATCAACGGACTAAATAAGCTCTATATTATCTTTTGTCTTTTGGTCCACAAAGTTCATCGAATATGAAATTGAAACATGTTTTTCTAAAGATTTTAAAAATAATAATAATAAGTTTCAGTAATTTTAGCTATTGCAAAAACTAATAAGTTAAATATGTAAACAAAATTTTTCGGCCAGGTCACCAAGTTGCAAATACTTTCTTGTTTTAATTTTTTTGCTGCATCGAACCTAACAGCTTGAGCGCCAAAGCTTCTTGCTCTGCTAACGACATTGAGGCAGCTTTAACTTCTTTACCCTTGTTTTCTTCTTTTTCTTCATCACTGTCGCTACCAAAGTAAATCTTTGCTTTTTTATTCCAATATTCCTCTTCTTCAGCAAGATCATCTTGGTCACCATAATCTTCTTCCATTTTACCTTTCTTTCTCTTCATCTTCTCCTTGGTTCTTTTTTCTCGCCGGCGCTCACGGTAAATAAGCTTGTCTTCCTTGTCCACATGCTTCATCTCTTCCATCACCTTTCTGTAATAATCTTTTTTCCTGCCTGCAACATGAGCAATAATAGATTGCCATTATTTTTTGTGAGTGAAAGGATTAATTGCCCCCCCAAAAAAATCAGAATGAAATTTGGAAACCACAAAAAGTTCTAGGGACACAAGTTTTAAAAACCTTAATGCAAAAGTGGGAACATTTACCTTTATCAAGCAAGAAGTTATCACTGCCATTCTTCGTGTCAGCTAGCCTCGCAAGTGGCGGTAGTGGGTTGATTCCCTCATCATCAAAAACGACCCTGGTCCCGGTTGGCTGATGGACATTGATCTTCAACTTCTTTTTCTTTAGAACCCGTGTTCTCATCCTTCAAGGGGGGAAAAAAAAGATATGATCAGCTTCTTAAATCACACTGATAAAGTTTCCTACCACGGAATAAGTATCTAAAGAGAATATCACATGTTATTGGGCCAATTTTTGACGCTGAAACCAAGCCATTTTTTATTATTGCTATACACTGAGAGGAAAGCATAACATAAAACAAAAAAGAACAAAAAAAAAAAAATGACATACACGATATCTGCTAAACCTTCCTTCCCGTCTGTGGTATCATGTCCTAGAAGAGAACTTTTTTCCATCTCCTCTCCCTTGAAATTACCGATATTATGGCCTTCCTCTACCTTGAAATTACCAATATCATGGTCTTCTTCGGGAATCTCCAACTCATCATCCTCGCTAGAACTTTCGGGTTCGAGAGCGGAAGATTTTCCTGACATTTCATTTGCCTTGACCTTCTGATTTAGAAAACGAATTTTGGGGGTTATTGCAAGACCAAGTGATGCAGAAAAGTCGCCAATACTAAGCTTTGTGACATCAAAGATCTCTTTATCCTTGTTTTTGTGTATAGACCGTAAATATGTTAGAAGCGCCCTTTGTGCTTTATACTGCAAATCCGGATACTTGACTAGCAAAGCTGCCAACAACCCAGAAACTGGTTGTAGTCTCAATTTGTTTACCTGAGAAATCTGCATAGCAACAATTTAAGCATCAGAAGACAAACCATCTGAAAGATTTGGGGACGGTCAACATGAAGGAAAAAATAAAACGCTTGATGTCCACCTTTTTTTCCCGCAGGGGTATTTTTTGTGATTGTAATTTCCCAAGCATTTTCTCTTCAGATGGCAGCAAAAATAAAAGTGATTCCCCCCTAGAATTGTAGCGAGCTGTTCGGCCGACTCGGTGTATGTATGTTTTTATGTCATCTGGGCAATCCACCTACACACAAACACAATAAAAACTTTTGGAGCCAAGTTGGAACAAATACGTTCTTTTTTTCCACTTCAACAATACATTCTTTTCAAAAGACCAAGTGCTCACCTGAACAACCCACTGAACTGCCTTGTTAAAGTCGAGGCCTCTCGAACCTACATCAGTGCAGAAAAGAACTGATCGTTGTTCCGCACAGAATTGTTTATATACCCCCAGTCTTTTTATCAGTTTCATCTTTCCATGGAGACATCTCAAGGGTATTCCAGGACGAAGCTTTTTGAATGCTTCAAAGACAAATACTGTCTGCAAAAAATAGCTAAAAGGTGGTAAACACAGAATCCTCTAGACATGGAAGCATGCCACAAATCACCCAACAAAAAAAAAAAAAAAAGGAAAAACTAGGAAAAATATATTTAATACGTACTATCTCCCTTAATATTTGTTGAGTGAAAGAATTCACCATATTTTATTTCTTTGTAAGGTGAAAAAAGAAACAAATATGAAGAAGTTTTCTTGTAGTTTGAACAATAACAGACAACATTACATTGAAACAGAGAAAAGGGAAATTATTGATGCAAAAAAGCATCAGACTAACCTGTTTGCGAGTAGAGAGGAACACTAGAGTCCTTGAATTAAGATGCGACTTTATGAAACTCCACAACATGTCCAGCTTTTGTTCCAATGGAACAGTCAATGCAGTTTGCCGCAGACCTGTTGGAGTGGCTGTCACAGACTCCTCGTGCACACTGATGTACTCCGGATCCTTCAAACTCAGTCGTGCGAGGTCTTGAATTGATTTTGTTTGAGTTGCGGAAAAGAGAAGGGTTTGTCTTTTCTTAGGTAGCTGTGAAACGATGTCATTGAGGGTCTTCTTAAAGTCCATATCAAGCATACGATCAGCCTCATCAAGGACTAAAACCTGTTCCCTGGCCAGCGAATTTCACCAAAATTAGCAACACAATTGGCATCATCAACACGGAGGAGGGTCAGAGGATAACGCCCAAAAAAAAAAAAAAAAAAGGAAAAAGGAAAAAGTAGAAGAATGAATCAAAATTGCTAATGGAAAATGAAAAGGCACCGCAGGCTGATGACAAATGTCTTAGGGCTTGTTCTTTTGAGTGAAAAACTCAAAAAAATGCAACTCGAATTACAACTTTATTCGAATTCATGTTCTTTTAAGTTACACTTAAGTTTAGGATTAAAACTCGAGTTTAAATTTCTCCTTCAACTCGAGTTTAGAAACTCGAACTCAAATTAATGAACAGTATTTTTTTTATTCTTAAAAATGCTATAACTTTTTCGTTTTAATTCTGATTGAGATGATTTTTTTTTCTATGCGTTGACAATGAAAAAGTGAATAAAACCCGACCCATATACCCTATTAAAATTTTTCATCAGCATTGAGTTTTTATTAAAATACTATCTAAATACAAATTCAAGTTTTGACTCACTCAAACACAAACTCAAAAAAATTATTATCTCAAACCATAACTCAAATGTACACAACCAAACACAAACTCAAGTTATAAGTTCAACTCAAATTATAACTCAAATTTAACTCAAGAATTATACTCAAGTTAAACTCTAAAAGAACAAGCCCTTAGATACTCTATCTTAACTTGCATAACTGAAGTTACATTCATTTGCAAGATTTTGTTTTAGTAAAACCAAATAAGTGAAATTGTGAGGAGAAGAGCATATTCGAAGACCTGAAGTTGTGAGCAGTCAAAATTTACAGTCTCATCCATGTGTTGAAGAAGACGACCGGGGGTGCAGACCAGTATGTTCATGTTGTTCACGCGATCTTTCTCTAAATCTACCTCTTTCCCACCAATTATGAGAGCGGCACTAATGCTATGGTGCCTTCCGACTGATTTTATTTCTTCAAATATTTGTTCAGCTAACTCCCTTATGGGACAAAGAATGATGGCTCCAACTCCCCACTCAGCGGAATATCTCTCGCGAAACAATTTCTCCAAAACCTGATATGAACAGAGTTATAGGACGACATAGAGAAAAAAAAAAAAAAGAAATAATTTCTTAAGTACTACATAAAAAGAGCCTTCAAAAATTCTTTAATTTTAATCCTCCTAGTTGCTGTCGTAATGGTCTTACAGGTCCAAAAATCCTAAATATCAAATTTCTCAGAAACCAAATACGAAAAATAAAACCGTGTTTAGAATTGATCTCATTTTTATTTTTCATATTTTTTAAGAAAAAAAAATAAAAATATTTTCAAAACAACGTTTAGTGCAATTAAAGACAAAAAATAAAAATAAAAATAAAAATAATTTTTTAATTTAATATAAAATAAAAAAAAATAAAAAATTTAATTATTTTTTATTTTTTATTTTTATTTTTTCTTCTCTCATTAATATATTTTTATATTAAAAATAATCGTTTAATAAAATTATCAATCACATTTTTAAAAATAAATTCTATCTTAAATTAAAAATATTTTTATTTTTATTTTCATATAAAAAATAAAAACGAGTTTTAAATGCTACCAAAAACTCCAACAATCAAAGCTATCAATTCTTCTCACCGGCAAGACAAAATCCAAAATTTCCTTCATTTTCTTCACAATCAGTTGAAGAGAAAAGGCCATATATACAATTCATCAAACACCAAAGAACTTTAAAAGCAAAAAGAAATCCAAATTTCATTTATTTTAGAAACCTAATTATCCAATTTCCCAAAAACCAAACTCACCGGAATAACAAAGGCGAGAGTCTTCCCGGAGCCGGTCTTGGCGGCGCCGAGAATGTCCCTACCGGCGAGGGCGTGAGGCAAAGACGCCCGCTGAATCTCCGTCATCTCGACGTAGCCGGACTGGAGGAGGCCATCCTTGGTCTTCCGCGAGAGGGGAAGCTGGCTGAACTTTGTGACGCCGGAATATCGAGGGAACGCCGTCGTATTGGCCAACGGAGGCGTGGAGGAGGAGGGAAGAGAAGGGAGAGAGAGTGGGTTGGAGCCTGATTCGGGTTTCTGGTCGTCGATCCATGAGTTGAGCAGCTCGATCTCCTTCTCCTCCGATACCCGAAACTGCCTCCTGACAAGCCTCGACTTGGATTTGAGTTTAGATTTGGATCTGGGTTTTCTCATGGCTGAGATTTTGGGATGGAGAAAGAGGAAGACGACGACGATGGTTTTGCTGTTGCTAGGGTTTTGTTGGGCAGAGCAGCGAGGGGTTTTAGAGGATTAACAAGCCGAATGACGGTGAATTTTAAGAAGCAATTGCCTAGAATTCGAATTTTGCTCCACTAAAAAAAATTAGACAGTTATATTTAATTTTTTTATTATAATAATTTTTTTTTTACATCAAATTATATTTTAATTAAAAATTTAAATCAATAAATTAAATAAATTTATTATTTATTTATATATATGGCGCGTGTTATTTTTTTTTCCATACACATTTGTCCCTTAAATTTTTTAGTTTGACAGTTAATCACCTAAATTTATAAATTTATTACAATGTATCATATTTTATTAAATTTATTCAAAATTTTTATTACATTTAAGGATTAAAAGTTCAAAAATTAAAAAAATTATGTTACATTGAATTGTAATGTTAAAATTTTTTACTAAACATGTTTTTTAACATTAATTTGACACAATCATCATTAAAATGAGACATATTATAATAACTTTACAAATTGAGAGACACTTCATCGAATTTAAAAAATTTAGAGGTAATTTACTAAAAATCTAAAGAGGAAATTTTTTTTAATACTCTGCGTTATAAGAAAACATTCTATTAATATATTGTACTTTTAATAATATTAAAATAATACTATAACATTTTTAAAAACTTATTTTTAGTACCGTAATCTTTTAATTTATGATATAAAATGATATATTTACCCTTATTAATATTTTTCTCATTTTCACTAATTCGATTTCCATTTAATAGGTAACGACAAAAACTGTTGTTCTTGTAACTAAAATTGTTATCCATTTAATAAATGAAAACTCTTATTAATCAAATAAAAAAAATAATAAGAATAAATTTGTCATTTTTACTATCCAAAAAAGGGATTCATAGAAAAAACAGCCTAAGTTGTGAAATAGACTATTTCTAATATAAATACTAATGGTAATTGTACATTTGACATTAAAAAAATATGATAAGATGCCTTATTTTTATTTATTCTCTAATGCATAATGTTATGGGAAATAGTAGAAAATAGGCCAATATGAAAAGCTTAAGAAAATATATAGGTCAATTTTTAGTTATAAAAATTAATAAGCCATAACTTGTTAAGTTATGGTTCATAACCAGATAAGTTATGGACAAACTTGTCAAGTTATGATTCATAGCCGGACAAGTTATGGACAAAAATCGTGAATTATGGACAATAACTTGTCAAGTTATGGTTCATAACCAGACAAGTTATGGATAAAAACAGTAATTTGACCTATTTATTAACTTATGTAAACTATTGGCTTATTAATTTTAATTTATCTCAAGTCTTAGCTTATTTTCCTCTTTCTCTCTAATGTTATATGAAATGTTAAAATCAACTTTTCTTATAATCATTAAGGCCTTATTAGGAACATATATTCAAACCCAAATTAAGATTCTACTACAGTATTTTCTTTTTACAAAATTTAAATAAAAAAATTTCCGTCAATAGTTTTATCATAAAGAATTTGAATCAAAGCCTAAATCATTATTCAAATACACTTCCCAAATGGGCCTTAAGTTTTAAATGTTGTAAAAGAAAAAGTTGTAATAATTAAATGAAACAGGAGGCAAGTAGGGAAATAACATATTTAAGAAATTGAAAAAAAAAATTAATAGCATAAAGTTTAGAGATAAGAAGTAAATAACATAATTTTAGTAAATGAAACATTTACCATTCTTTAAATACCAAAAATACCCATAAATTATTAGAATAATAAATTTTGTAATACAAAAATTTAGTAGTGTCAAATATAATTGTCCAAAAGTTTTGAGGTTCTATTTGTCACTCAATTTTTAAAAATTAAAATTTGACCTCTCAATTTTTGAAAAATTAAAATTCATCCCTCAACTTTTAGAAAATTATAATTTGATCCTGTATTTTAAGTTTTTTTTTACAAAAACACCCCTGGTTAGTGATTCATTTACCTCATTTCCCAGTTATGTAAATGATATATTTACCTCATTAACCATGTAAATGTAATGATTCATTTACTTAGTAAATAATTCATATACCTGATTTACCAGGTAATGTAAGTGATTCATTACTAGGGGTATAAATGAAATTTTTTAAAAATTTAGGTCAAAAAATATAATTTTTCAAAAATTAAGGGGACAAAATATAATATTATAAAGTTAAAGGGCCAAAATATAATTTTTAAAAGTTAAGGGGTTAAAATTTAAATAATTTAAAGTTCAAGAGAGAAAGAACATAAGGGTAAAATTGGAATACAAACATATTAAAATTGTAAAATATGCTATATATTTTCTTGGTTGGTAATTATATTATTTACCACAAACGGTTTAAGAAAATCTACATGTTCTAATTTTTCATGAAAAAAACAACTATATTAATCAATAAAAATTAAGTGTTAAATTTATCATATTGTATATTTAGTGCGAAATTTATCACAAAATATAATATATAATAAATTTAACCTAACAAATAACATTTGTATTAGAAATTTTTTTATTAAAATATTAAATTTATAATTATCACATCAATTATAATATTATATTAAATTGTATTCCCATTTATTTTATCGATTCGAGTTTAAAATTTAAATTTTATTATAATAAAAAGTTCTAAAAAAATTATATTTAACTTTTTTATTACAGTAAAAAATTTTCATATAAAATTATATTTTAACTCAAATTAAAAATTAAATCCGTGAACTAATCGAGCGGAGATATTTCGTAGGGCCGGTAATATGGGTCACGACACGACAACACGACTCGAAAACGACACGAATTTCGCGGGTTAGGGTTGAAAAAAAAGAGGTTCAGGTCAAAATTGGGTCGACATGAAATTGACATGAAAAACATGGGTCAATTTCATGTTGGACCCGCCTAACCCGAACACGACACGAAACTCGTAAAAAACTAAAAAATACATATATTTTTCATTACATATTTTGATTTTATTATGAACTTATGATATCATAATAGTTATACTCAAAATCTTATAGTATTATTTGCTTAATTTCAATGGATGTTATTATTTTTTAGTGTGTTATGAATTTTAAGCTATTTTAATATGTAAAAAAGTAAATAAAAGTATATAATTTTTATGTCAATTTCGGGTTCACAGGTTAATTTCGTGTCACGGGTTATTTTCGTGTAGTGTCGTATCGTGTCAACTCGTAAAGTGGTCGTGTCGTGTTCGTGTTGCGGTTTTTAAAAAATTTCGTGTCACGGGTCATGTTCGGGTTGACTGTAAATTTAAAAAAAAATGATTAAAATACGACACAAATACGATACGTGACACGAATTGCCACCCCTAATGTTTCGGCTCGGTCGCGAACCTCCGACCCTGCCTCTCTTTTTGTTTGCTGATGGAAACAAAGGTCATATCATATTAGATAGAGTAAACGACACAATTGTCATTAAAAATATACGAGACTCAGTCAACGACCTAATTATTCTTTGTCGTTTGATATGCGAACGCATGTACCTCGCAAAGTTGCAAGTTAAAGAACGAAAATGGTAAGACGGGAGATCAAAGGAGAAAAAAAAGTGTTTTAGCTTTGATCCAAACCTTGAGGATCTATATATTTTAGAGAGAGAAATCAATCGTTGTCTTCCTGAGAGAGAAACCGCCGCAGACAAACAAATCAACAAACAACCATTGGGATCTTCTTCAAAAACAAAAGCAGAAAAAACAGAGAAACAGAGAAAGTGATTATGGGTCTCCTATACAGAGAGAGATCAGAACCCCATGGTGATTACGACAACAAAACTTCTTATTCGTCGGTGAACGACGACGCCTTGCTCTTCGCCACAATCTGTATCGTGGGACTCCCCGTGGACGTTCACGTCAAGGACGGTTCCGTTTATTCTGGAATCTTCCACACCGCTGGCTTCGAAAACGACTACGGTCAGTGAGTTTCCTTCCAAACTGAAACTGTGTTTGTGATCTAATGTGATTTTGGGAAATGTTTCCTGGGTTGTAATTATTATGTCAAAACTGTATCTGGGTATGTGTTATTTTGTAGATTAATCAGGTTGGTGCTGTGTGGGATTGGTGGGGTTGGGGATCAAATGGGATTTTGATCTGGGTTTGTCATGTTATGCTTGTTGAATTTCGAAATGGTGAATAAAAGAGAAGTTAGGGAAATATAATGATTTTTTATTCAGAAGGGAATCAGATCTTCATTCTTTATGAACCTAGCTTTAATCTATAGATAAAATCTCTTCCCACTAGTTAATATGCTGCAAACTTAGTCTTTCAATAATGATTCTCTTTGCGAATTGTACATCTCCTTTTGTTGGGTGTGTGTGTGTGTGTATTGGCGGGGTTTGTTGATTTGATGTTCTATTTTTTTTTTTTTTTCACCTTTCTTGTGTGTAGGCATTGTTCTAAAGAAAGCAAGAATGACTAAAAAGGGGAAGGCCAATTCAAACGTAGCGAATGGGGCAATGATAGAGACGCTTGTAATTCTTTCAGGTGACCTTGTGCAACTTGTTGCAAAGGTGATGAATTTGTGTCATTCTTTTTTTGTTCTTTTTTTTCTTCTAGGTCTTGAGATCTTTACTGGAAAAAGAGTTGTTGATTTATTTACAATCATATACCACTATTTATATGCAATTCAGGGAGTTCTGCCTCCAGCTGATGGTGATTCTGGGAATCTTGCTGCTAAAGACGCAGAATGTGTAGTGGATAATAAAGCTCCTTCTGAAGAATGTGTAGAATATGAAGTGGATAAACTTATCAACTCCGATTTCAACATGAAGAGAACCGAACATATAAGGTACTATGTCTTGATAAAGTTGGAAGATGGCTTCTTATTGCAGACCATGTTGTTTATGTTCACTTGAGAACAAAAATAAGGTTTTAGATTCGCATATTTGCATCACGCCCTTACTGTTCAACAATGCAGAAGATGTTTTCTTGAGTATGAGATTGCTTCATTTTTTCCCCTGCAAATTGTAGTATATTAATATAGAAAATGTCGAAAATCTTAGAAAAATATAAAGGAAAAGAGTCTACAGGTGAAAGCAACAAAAAGACATCAAAAAGAACAAAACATGAGTACGAAACCTAGATTTGAAAGGTTGAGAGGAAAAACAAAAATAATTGACAACTATGGTGACGTTTGGTTCATGGATTCAAAACCATGGTTCATGATTCTGATTTTTGAAATTCAAATTTTTTGTGAGAGAAAAACACTATAGTAGAACTAAAAACCATAATTTTAAACTAGACAGAACCCTTGAAACAAACGTCACCTAAGAAAGCAAGTAAAGAAGGAAGGGGGACAAAACAAAACAAAAAAAAAAAAAAAAGAAAGAAAGAGAAGCAAAAGAAAAAAAAAGACAGCGCGGCAAGAAAAAGGGTGTAAAAGGGATTAAATAGATAATAAAATAAAATAAAATAAAATGTAGGGACTAAAATGATAATAAAATCAGATAATGGTGAGATAAAAAATAAAAATTAGGGACTAAAGGAGCAAATAAAAAAAGAGGGGGTCTGAAAAGCAAAAAAAAAAAAAAAAACTGCAAATTTAAATTAACGGGGGACAAAATGTTTCCTCTTACCCTCACTAATGAAACATTTCGTCCTCCACGGACGAAGCCACGGGAGCGTCATTGACGCTTTTAAGTATTGTCTAGATTTTGGAATTGTATTTCCTCTACATACTCACATTTTGTATCGTTCTAGTATTGCCTTTACATATTCACATTTTGTACTGTTGTACTTGTTGCTAATTTCCTTATCTCTAGACCTCTTATGTACATAAATGCTTTGTGTACATACATTTATTATACACGCATAAGCGTGTGCGTGCATTTACTTATACTAGTACTAATTTTTAATGATTAAAACAGGAGCTCAGTGCAAAAGATGAATGGATTTGCTCAGGCTTTTATGCCAGCAAATGGCAGAAAGGATGATGAAGGCAGAAAACTAGAGCCGAAAAGTTTCGAGAATTTGGAAGTTGGACATTCAAGAATAGATGGGATAAATTTACCACAGGTATACTCTGTTTTTATTTATAAAAATTCGTTTTCCTTCAACTGATATATGTAATTACTAATTCGTTATTTCTCCCAAATATAGTCAGGATTAGGAAAAACAAGAATGCATAGAGTATAGACCAACAACTCAAAATGAATGAGAAACTAAGTTTGAAAAGAGACGGAAAATTAAAGAAGAAAAAAAAAAGTGGAAAACAGTAAAAAATGAAAACTACAAGAATAAGGAGTTGGCTATAAGTCAGAAACAAGTTCTAAGAAAGGTTGTTTTATCTAACAGTGTAGGTCCACACCGTTAGAGCATATGTTATATTGCATATAACCTTGTAAAAGTATATTAAGCCTTTTTTTTTATTTTTTATCCTTCTTTTTTTCTCAATGCAGATCAAAGAAGGCTCTGATGCTGCAGTTAATGGGAGGTATAACTTGACATTCGTTTTTTATTTTCTTTTTTTGTTTTTTTGTTTTCTTTTCCACAATTCTTGACAAGGGGGAAAACTGTACGAGGTTTTAATTTAATTTAACCTTTTTTTTTTTTTTTTAATTTTTCATCAAGAATGCTATTTGTGTTGGACATAGAAGCATTGGTACTGCTCATGTCAGATAGCATGCATATGTCTCCAACACTGTGACGATACTCTGGGAAGTTAACTTTTTGTAGTGTGCCATTTGTTTATTCCTTTTAATCTGAGGATATTGTCAATTGTCGACAGGCAGTGTGTACGTGATGGGTCGCAAGGAGAAAAGAAAGATATTAAAGAAAAATTGGAGTTTCCTCCGGAAGAAAGTGTATGTTCAGATTGTTTTTGTTAATGCCAGTCATGGATGTTTTCCACTACAAATTGACCTATTATGTGTTTATAATTTCATATTTTTTTTGGTTCTCGTTTTTGCAGACTATTAAAGCTGAGGATTTGAGTTCAAGCTGTAAGTCTACGTACCTATCACTTTTCTCAGCATTTCAAATTGTTTGATTGTCTTGTAAGTTAGGTATTGTTCTAGATGATCACTCATGTTATAAATAGATTCCTCCCAAAGCTAGGGCGATTTGTGGATTGGAAGCTAACTCGACTTTGATGAGCTTTTAGTAGTTTTATTGAATCGTGTTTTTAGCAATTACTCTAAGAGGACCTAATTTCAAGTTAAAACTGTTGGCATCATTTGATCAATCAATTCTTTCAGAGCCGGATTTCCAACAATGCATGCTTCTAGCATAGCATCTAAGCTGTGAGATATTTAACAAAACCATCTGTCTTTTGATGGATCAGGGAAACTTTTGCTCGGTCTAGCTCTATGATGTTTACTTATCTGTTAAAGTTTATTGTTGTTTTATTCACAACAAACTTTACATGCTGTACCCATTGTCAAGTTAAAACCTCTTGTTGATTGTTTAAATACTTCAAATGCAGTGGACACATGCTTCACCCAAATAAAACCTGTCAAAGAAGAACAAACCCTGATTGCAGCCAAGCTATCGTCTACTGGAGCATCCTGTGATCCTTCTTCTCTACCTGCAAAGATGGCAAAGCAGTCATTTGAACGGCCCATGTCAGCAGATGCTTCTTCCTGTGCAGTTTCATCAAACGTCTCAACTTCAACTAGTCGGGTTGTGGATGTTATCTTAGAGTCCAGTCATAGTCCGGTAGCATCAACTGAGACAATCCCTTCCCATATTTCACAGTCGAATAAAATCTCCAAGGTAAATTTCATATTCTTTTTTATCATTTACCCTTTTAAATATGGAGAAAGCTGTTTATTAAACGAAGTACTAAATTTCATATTTGTTCTTGTCCTTTCAAACCTTCACTTGCTTGGTTCAAAATGTTTCACCAGTATGCATGTTGTTTATTGGAACGATTAAATTAGAGTGGACTAAATTTCCTATTGAAAATATGGTATAACACGAAGGCAGTGATATTGCTTGCTTTTATTTATTTATTTATTTTTTTGTCAATGATCTTTCTTATCTTATTTAAGTTTAATTGACTTGATAATATCTTTTGGCTGTTATTATAGGAATCCAGACTCAACCCAGGAGCTAAAATATTCTCACCGTCTTTTGCGAACCCAATATCAGCAACTTCTGCAGTACAAACAGTTGCTGGCATTGGTTATATGCCAAACAACTCTCCTCCGATACCTGTTCCTGCTGCTCAGCCAGAGGTTGCGTTACGCCCGTTTGGATCTCATTCATCTGTACCTGTTAAAATTCTCCCATATGGTAATCTTCCAGCTGGAACTGTGGGTACAACTCCTCAGTTTCCACAACCTGTAAGTACCATCAAATATCATTGTCCTAAGTGTTACTTTAGTTCGGATATAACATCTCCTCGGACTTTTAGATCAATCTCATAACCTTTTAAGGCAAAACGAGAATGGAACTCGTTTTTTTCTAAAACATATTTGCTTCTTGTCTTACGTGTTAAATGTTTTCACCACCTTTTACAATGGAACTTAAGAAACTGACTAGATAACATGGAATTGAAGCATTTCTTCACTGTTCAAGAATCTTCTTTTATCTGAGTTGTATGATGCTAATGGTCCTTGACGTCGCCCTCCATTTTTTTTTTTTGGGCTATAGATTATTGGACATGTGGGAAGCAGGCCACAGCCACTAAGATATACTGTTCAGTATCCTATTCAGGCTGGACCAGGCATTGTGCATTCAAATTCGCAATCTGTAAGTTGCAGGACATCGCTTGCTTGATCTTTAGCTTTTTTCCACTAGCCTTCAGCATCTCAATCTACCTTCCAAAACAATATCTTGTTGAGTGGATACCAAGGCATTTTTATTTCCTTCGTACTTGTTTGTATAACTTGCTATCATCGGTTACTAAGTTCTCGTTCTGTGTCCAGCTTACAGATGGACGACTTGGGCAGCTTCTCTATGTGCATCCAGTTTCTCAAGTAAGACAAGTGCATGTGCAAGGAGCTATGTGATTGAAATTTTTAGATACTTATGTGACTTATTTACCTGAATTTTGTTCAGGTATTGGCTTGTACATGATGTTTAATATTCTATTCAATTGCTTTTGGCTATGGTGAAATAACTCAAGGTCCATAAATGGGGTTCGTGGCGGAAACTGAATTGATAGTAATTTTATTTATTTATTGAACTTTTGTGAACAACCGCACCCTAAAGTGAGCATGGTCTGGAATAGAATTAACTGGAAAATTCCAAGCTGTTGAAAGGAAGGATCAACATATAGCCAACCTTGTTTTAGATAATGAGTTAGTTAGATAACTGCACCTAGAATGAATTTTTGTTTCTCATTTTAACTAAATTTCATTCGACTTTTAGAGTCTACTTCGTGGCCTAAAGCCACGCTGAATTTCTCATCTTCATTTGTTTTAAAGTAAACTGATAATACTATTACAATTTCGCAATTGCTTGATCATAATTCACTTGCATGTTGCAGGAGTTAGTTTCGGGTGTGACGGCTCTCTCATCGCCATTTGTGCGTCCATTGCCAACTCCACATCAGGTTCAGTTTCCAAAGCAACAAGGTAGGTACATGGTTATTTTGGTCATGAACTTAGTTTTTTCTTATTAATAATGTATTTATCTTTCATTATTGTTCCTCGTGTGATGCAGGTACTTCAGCAGGCCAAGCAATGCAGCTGTGTGTGGCTCCACCTCTTGTGGCTACTGGACCGCAACCACATTATGCGGTGCCTTGCCACATTCCGGTATTGCAACCGCCCTTCCCTTCTAATCGCTACATTCAAGTTCCAGGATTCAATGGCCCCTTGAGCTCCAAGTTTTTGTGAACATGCCTATATGATTTTCCATTGGTCATTTCTGGTTTCCCCACTATTTTTTTTTTTTTTTTTTATTCCTTTCACCATTTACCGGAATTTTTTGCTTGAGTTGCTGAATAAGAGTAAAATCGATGTATCCGTGTACTATATTATCTTCCGTACCAAAAAAAAAAGAAAAAGAAAGAGTAGGAATTTTGTGCAAGGGTTTTGATTTTGTAGGATGTGGTCGAGAACTTTATACGAAGGTATTGAGTTGTGTCAGATTTGGTTTGAGGGATGAGGTCTCAATTCTTTTTAAAGGATTTTGAGGACTTTTGCGAGATAAACAGAACTGAATTGCTTGGTGTTTCAAGTTGAACAATGTATTATGAGAGAAACATGTACATATACCGGATCATATGGAAAAAGGAGTGGTTCTTTTTATGTGAAAAGATTGATCATATTTTTCTCTATGGTTGTCATAGTTAAGTTGTTAAGCAAAAGACATCTACACACACAGATATTTGCTCTGGTACGTGTATATTTATCTTCTATGCGGGTGTGCCTGTAGATGCTTTGCCTTTCGTTACAAGTTATCAAATTTTTTGCTTGTAATCCGAAAGCTATCAATTGGAACAACGTGGTAAGCATTTTGAATTTTGGGGAGAAAAAAAAAAGAAAAAAACTTGTATTCGTAGTTGAACTCTAGTATGAGATCGGTTTTTTGTTGTTCTTTCGTGTTGCCCAGTTTGTTGTTAATATTTTTGTTAATTATTTCAATAATGTCGCATATCATATGCGTTTGGTAAGAGGGAAAGAAAAGAGAATGAAAAGAAAAGGAAATGAAAGATTTTCCTTTAGTTTTTTAGTACGATGAGAGGGAAGAAAATATGTAATAGGTTAAATGGTTATTTTATATATTATTTAATATCAATTAAACTTTAAAATGGGGTAAAAAAAAAAAGTTATGCTAGTCATTAGTGGGTTGATTTAAGTTTTCCACCTAATGTTAGAGAGACAAAAATTAGTGGTTCCGCCCGACTTTTAATCCACCTATTTTCCTTTTTTCCTATATTCCTTTGTACCAAACAACTACTATTTTATTATTTTCCATCAAATAATCCCTCAACATACTTCCTTTCTTTATCTTTTTCATCGTATCAAACATAGTATTAATGTTATAAATTATCTTTTAGAAAACTATTTATATTAAGAATTATTTTGTCAGAAGGAACTAAATTTCATCTAGAAACCTTAATTCTCATTGAAATTTAGTCACTATGTTACAGGCAAACCTTAATCGTCGAATCTTGCTCATGAAATATTCGAGAAAAATTAACATCTGGATTAATAAAGTCGTTTGTTGCTTGACTAGTTGCTACAGGTCGTTTTATGCATATAAGTAGACGTTGTACTAATTATCGTTTCCTCTTAAGTCTAAATACCAAAAGTTGTTGACAACTTTGCGTGCAATTTTGGAGCTGATGTGCTCTTCAACCAAATAAATGAAAAACTTTCATGAATTCGATTGCAGTAATCGCAAATCACCATTCCATCATTTTGGTGTTCTGTTCTTTCCTTAGTCTCCCATGTCAGTGTGTTAAAAAGCCAAAAATCGTTTATTTTGAATTGAAATTTTCCATTTATGTGATAGCTCTCAATGATGAAATACAAAACTTTTAATGGCCGTCTTCTTCAACAAAAGCCCTATATTGGATAGCTCTATTTGTAGAAGCCTAAGATCCATCCCCATTTCACTTTAAAACTATCAATTAGGACTACCTCAAAATGAGAGCAGACAATTCAGATGAATTGTTTTAGCCGTAAAATATTAATCTAACTAATTAATTAGATAGTTGATCAATATATATATATATATATATAATCTTAATTTTTTTCTTTGTTACTTCATAAACTTTGTAATGGAATTTCTTCTAAACTGGAGGAACAAAAAAGGACTCGAAATCACAAAGTATAGAACCTAACAATGCTACCAAACCACATGGCGACTATAGGAACTGCAGAGATATGGTGCTACTTTATCATTTTGTAGCGCACAAGTACTCAACAAAAGCTTATCATAGTCTATGATAAGCCATTGTTGTCTTTTTCTTTTAAAAAAAAAAAATGAATGATCCATATATTTTTGACAATATATATATATATAAATGTTAGTTGATTACTTATTTGTAAGTATATATGTTATCTATTTTTTTTAATTCATTGTATAGAACATTGAAATCGAGATCCACAAAGTTTGAGAAGATTTCAGAATATAATTGCGAGATGATATAGGTTAAAAATTATTCGTTATTAAATTGAATGATGAACTAAATGCCGAATTAACTTGCAATAATAATAATAATAATAATAATAATAATAACAATAATAACAATAACAATAATAATAATAACAATAATAACAATAACAATAACAATAACAATAATAATAACAATAATAATAACAATAATAATAACAATAATAACAATAATAATAATAACAATAATAATAACAATAATAATAACAATAATAATAATAATAACAATAACAATAACAATAATAACAATAATAACAATAACAATAATAACAATAACAATAATAACAATAACAATAACAATAACAATAAGAATAACAATAATAATAAGAATAATAATAAGAATAATAATAAGAATAAGAATAAGAATAATAATAATAATAATAATAATAATAATAACAATAATAATAACAATAATAATAACAATAATAACAATAATAATAATAACAATAATAATAACAATAATAATAACAATAATAATAACAATAATAATAATAATAACAATAACAATAATAATAATAACAATAATAATAATAATAACAATAACAATAATAATAATAACAATAATAATAATAATAACAA